CAGTGATAAAGACAGGGTAAATACCTAGGTGGCATGATGCCCAGTGTGATGTTCTTTTCACTGAATAACACCATGCTAGCAGATGTTTTCTGAGAGTTGTGTTGTACTTAACATAATGCCAGTTAAGCCCCTCAGATACATAAAAATCAAGCAGTTAGTTCAGTCTTTCAAGCTAAAAACAGCAGTCTTAAAGTACATTTATTTAGTAAATTATTCATTCAACACGTAGTTTTTGAGTACGTAATGTGCCAATGTTTTGCATCTTGCCAGCTAGGTAAGTCATGGTTTAAAGTTATTTTGAAGGTTTACATTTCAGGTCAGGGAAAGGAGGTCATTTTACTCGGCCTGCACATGTGCATCTATCATAAGATAAACCGTGGGAAGCAACAGAAGTGCATGTGTAGTAAATACTTGGTTAACTGAAAACAAATCCTAGGCTTGTCTTTGTCTCTGATTAGTTATTGCTGCTCCTAGGATGAAATGAAAATAAATAAAGGAGCTTTATGTAAGCCCTTTAGCATTTGACTAAGGATTGCAGATCCTACTATGAAGATAAACAAAATGAGTACTTACCTTACAGATATTTGCTTCTTGTTCACATGTGAAGTATTCTTTTTCGGGACAAACTTGAATGGTTGACTTAAAAGGATGCTTTACATTTAATAAATAAATGCTTTACATTTACTTATTTGCTATATTCCTCATTTGGAAAAAAAAACAGTTTTCAATGGGGGATATTGTTTTCATATAGTCACATATCATGTCTGTGCATATATATCTAAAGACGGGAAATTTCCCATTGTATTTCTTAGTTTGTTTCCTTATTGCAAATATTTTGGGCTTATTTAGGACTTTGGGTGTGCTGTGGTTGCTGCAATGCCGCATAGTAAAATAAACAGCATTTCTATGGTTCATTTTTTCTACTTAACCCAAGTTGTTTTGTACTTCACCCGCATTGTAATTAGTTCTGTCTTCTAGAAGCTGGGTCAGGCCATTTCCCTAGCGACATTTAAGTGTATGTCATAAAGTTTCTCTTTAAATTATGAAACCCTTCAGAAGAAATGCTGAATTACTAAGATAAATACCTAAAAATTCTGCAGCAAGTAAGACAAACCTTACTAGTTACTTCAGCAACTAGAAATAACACTATAATTGACAGGAACTACGTTAGAACAGACTTTGTGTTTTACATCATGGTATTTTTAAACTTTTACTTTGTAAAATAGCCTATGATTTGGATATTTTCTTTTCTTGAAGCTCTCAGTATTGCATCTCTAAAATAATAACTTGGAAGTGGTGTGCTCTTGGGATTCAAGGTAGATAAGGAGAGTCAAATTGCATCTTTTAAAAAAATATTTCTTTTATTTTTTCTTTAAAAATATTTTTTTTTCTAAAGTAGAGACAGGGTTTTTACTAGGTTGCGCAGGCTGGTTTTGAACTCTTGGACTCAAGCTAACTTCCTGCCTTTGCCTCCTAAAGTGCTGACATTACAGGCGTGAGCTACCACGCCCGACCACATGTTGCATTTTTTAAGTTCATTTATTCTGCTTTAAAAAGCTCAGGTGTCTCAGTTTATTTATTCCCTCAAGAAAAATTACTAAACTAAAAGAGTTTGAAAGAAAAAGATTTATCCATAATTCAAGCATAACTCATTCTTCCCTTGCTTACTCTGTCTACCATTCCACCCACGTTAAAGTGTTTTCCTTTCCTTTCCAAATATTGCAGATTGGACACATAATGCTTACAAATATGTTGTAGTAAAACAATTTATTAAGACATTCTTAGAGGCCAAGCACAGTGGCTCACACCTGTAGACCCAGCACTTTGGGAGGCCGAGGCAAGGAGTTCACTTGAGGCCAGGAGTTCAAGACTAGCCTGGCCAACATGAGGAAACTCCATCTGCACTGAAAATACAAAAATTAGCCGGGTGTGGTGGTGCATGCCTGTAGTCCCAGCTACTGGGAAGACTGAGACTTGAGAATCACTTGAACCCAGGAGGTGGAAGTTGCAGTGAGCTGAGATCGCGCCACTGCACTACAGCCTGGGTGATAGAGTAAGACTCTGTCTCAAAAACAAAAAGAAAAGAGAGAGAGATTCTTAGAGCACAGTGTAATGGACTTATTTAGTGTTAGAATTTACACTGCTATCAATTGGTAATTTACTAGTTCTGGACTATTTTACTTCTTATGGCTGAGTTTTTAAGTATTTTTAGTTTCTTTCATGTACTTTAGTTGTAAAATAGTTGGTCATTCCCTAGTTGGCACACTTTAAGTTAGTCCATATATCATTTATTAATAAAATAATTTCATAGAAATTATGGTTGGCTGGGCATGGTGACTCATGCTTGCAATCCCCACACTTTGGGAGGCCAAGGCCAGTGGATTGCCTGGCTCAAGAGCTCAAGACCAGCCTGGCCAACATGGTGAAACCCTGTCTCTACCAAAAAAATACCAAAACAATTAACCAGTTGTGGTGGCACACATCTGTGGTTCCAGCTACTCAGGAGGCGGAGGCGGGAGAATAAACCTGAGCCTGGGAGGCAGTGGTTGCAGTGAGCCGAGATCACATCACTGCATTTCCAGCCTGGGTGACAGAGTGAGACCTGCTGTCTCTCTCACACACACACAAGGTAGAGAAAGCAAGAAAAAGAGAGAGTGGAAGAAAGAAAGAACTTAAAAAGAGAACACACACACAAGAAGGAAGGAAGCAAGGAAGGGAGGAGGGGAGGGAGCGGGGAGAGAGGAAGGGGGAGGGAGGGAGGGAGGGAGAGGGGCAAAGGGAAAGAAAAGAAAAAAGAAAGGAAGGAGGGAATTTAAATAGACAAATTATCCAAATGTACTTTTGAGCACATTGTAAAATATTTGACATTTTTAAGAAGTGCACGCTTTTATATGAATCTAAAATTGTATTATAAATATGCTGTTTAAAGTTATACTTATGTTTTGTTGTTTTTTTTTTAACTGAGAGGTTGTCATTCTGTAAAAGCAGTAATTCTCAGTGTCCTCTCTGTACCAGCAGCATCACTATCACCTAAAACCTTGTTAGAGATGCACATTCTTAAGCCTCACTCTAGACCTTCTGAATCAGAAAACCAGTTTGATTTTAGCAAGCCCAAGCCCACCAGGGGTTGTGATGCATGCCCAAGTTTGAGAACCACTGCTCTAAGGCTTTGTATGTGGTAATTTCACAAGTTTCACATCACCTGACTTTAAACAACATACTTCTGCTTAGTTTTTCTTTTAAAAGTTATTAAAGGCCAGGCGAGGTGGCTCACACCTGTAATCCCAACACTTTGGGAGACTGAGGTGGGTGGATCACCTGAGGTCAGGAGTTCGAGACCAGCCTGGCTAACATCCATCTCCACAAAAATACAAAAATTAGCCAGGCGTCGTGGTGGGCACCTGTAATCCCAGTTCCTTGGGAGACTGAGGCAGGAGAATTGCTTGAACCCAGGAAGTGGGAGTGGCAGGGAGACAAGATTGTGCCATTGCACTCCAGCCTGGGTAACAGACCAAAACTCCATCTTAAAAAAAAAAAAGTTATTAAAACACTTGTTAAGGCACAGAGGCTTGCCCTGTAATCCTAGAACTTTGGAAGGCTGAGGTAGGAGGGACGCTTGAGCCCAGGAGTTCCAGACCAGCATGGGCAACATAGCAAGACCTCACCTTCAATTAGAATTTTTTTAAAAATTAGCTGGACGTGGTGGCACACATCTGTAGTCCCAGCTACTCATGAGGCTGAGGCAGGAGGATCGAGGCTACAGTGAGCTGTGATCATGCTGCTTCAGTCTATCTACCTGGATGACAGAGCAAGAACCTGTCTCAAAAACAAAAACAAACTCTTAAGCCAATCTTAAGTGGTTTGCGCCTCTAATCCCAGCTACTTGGGAGGATAAGGCGAGAGATCAGGTTGAGGCCAGGAGTTCGAGACCAGCCTGAGCTTCAATAGCAAGACTCGTCTCTAAAAAGTAAAATGATTCTTTAGTTTTTTTCACTTATTGAGATTATAATGCTTATTACCTTATTCTTTACAGTTTTGTATTTGGGAAAATGTTGGTTCCATGTTGGTGTGATCACTTCAGTAATTTTTGCAGTATTTGCTTGGTAGAGTAAATTAAGCTTCTCCCATTGATGAGACTTCTATTTTTAAGCTAGCACATTCCTAATTTTAATTTTAGTGAAACTGTCAAAATTTTAAAATTAAAATCTTTTTTCTTTTTTTTAATTCTACTGGATTTCTAATTTATATAAGCAAAAAATCATTGTTTTTTAATGTATGCATTACTTGTTTTGATTATCTATAGCACAAAACCATTTTAAAATTGGCTTGGCCATCAGTATATGTGTGACAACTATGAACTTTTTTTTTTTTTTTTTTTTTTTTTTTTTTTTTTGAGACAGGGTTTCACTCTGTCACCCAGGCTGGAGTACAGTGGTGTGATACGAACTCATTTTTAACACATTAAAAGAATGAATAATTTGAAACTGACGTAGTAACTATTCTTCTAATGTCTAATATACTTAAAGGGGAGTGCTGTTTGTTTGTTTTGTTTATTACTGTGTCTTCAAGCACTTGAAAGTTATGTCTACAGATTATACTTTCTGGTACTATTTTGAATAAAATAAGTCTTACCTAAGAGTACCCGTGAACTGAGTGACATAAAATATGTCATCAGGTTAGTCTTCTTATTGACAGCTCTTTAATATGAGTAAGAATTGGGTCATACAAACTAGTTTTGAATATTGAGGCTAATCTAGTTTTTTGTTGATCTACTCATTGATAGATAAACCTCTTTTCTAAAATGTACCAAACTTGTACCACGTATATCTCTACAACGACTCTGGTTTTGAATGGAATAGCCTATTTATTTGTTAGTGTTAGGTATCCCTAAATAATATTATTAACTTATCCACCACTTTTAACTTGGCTGGTTTTGTACTATTACTAAAATATAGTTTTACGTGAATTCATTTTACATTTGATTATTCTTTGAATTTCAGGATGGTGAGGAAGAAGAAAATGAGAAAGGTATGTTTGATGCTAAATAGAGTTTAAAAATTGCTAACATTTAGAAAACAGCAAATTTTGTGAAAATAAAGCATTCCTTTTTTGAAATCTTATTTTTGAAATTAGTTTATTTTCAGATTTATCTATTTAATGAATGAAGTTGCATCTTGATTTTATTTTCCAATTGGTTTTAGTTTTCTTTAGAAACTAAAGATATATTCCAACTTAATAGTACATGTCAGTTACTGTGGTGAACAATGCTGTTTTTTATTTAACCCAATTTTAATTTTATTTTTAAAATTACTTCTGGTATACGGTAAGTTGATTAAATTCTTAAGACTGACACTGCAGTAACTCACATGTGCTTATTGGAGTCCTAGTGCATAACTCACTGTGAGTTTTACAACTAGTCCTAAAAATGATGAATGATCAGGAGACTGACTTTGTGTTTGCTGCTTAGAGAAACTCATACAGTCGTCTGACAATTTTAGTAGTTTAGACGAGCTGTCTCATTCAGTACAATTACAGGGGCAACAGTAGCAATACATGTGGTCAGTAGGAGGTTATGGAAGAGTCCTTGTACAGAAGTCAAAGGATCCTACATTGGACTAGAAAGGACATGAAGCAGGGTTAACCAAGGCAAATAAAGAGCTGAGAAGCAATGGTGAAGTAAAGCTACTGACTGAAAATCTCACATGCCCGAAGCCTTTCTATTTTGGGGGAATGCAAGACATCTTTGAAAACAGTAATTGCAGACTGACTGGACAGGGTGAAGACTGGAAATAACCGATTTCCTGAACCTTACGGAGCAGGAGCATCTTCGGAGCCTTCTCTACTGGTTTTCCATACGACTCTGGACTACTCAAGTGTTGAAGATTGGAAAAGAGGGAGCCCTGAAATACTTTGAAGACTGACTGATATCCTCAGACTGTGACCTTGCGAGAAGTCACCATGGGAGTTCTGAAGGTCACTAGGGTTCAATCCCAGGATAATTTGAACATTGAACAACAATCTGCACTTTTGTCACTGTCCCATGGAGGAACAAAATCTTCCATGTGCCATTAACTTATAACCAGAAATGAAGAGCTGGTATCTTCAGGATGGAACCATTTTCTCACTATTGTTGTTTGGTGTTTGTATGTAGAAATCATTTTTTCCATGAAGAATAAGTGATCCTGGGTAAAGGATTGTTTATATTAGTTAATACCCTTGTGCTTTTTTTTTCCTAACTTTCCATCAGTGCTAATAACTGGCTTTATATTTTCTAGGTCCTATTCTAGCTTATGAATATGAAATTGTTTAAACTTCTTGTTTTGCCATATTTATTCCTGTTAAATCCTCTTAGATATAGCAGGTTCTGGTGATGGTACACAAGAAGTATCTAAACCTCTTCCTTCAGAAGGGAGCCTAGCTGAGGCTGATCACACAGCTCATGAAGAGATGGAAGCTCATACGACTGTGAAAGAAGCTGAGGATGACAACATCTCGGTCACAATCCAGGCTGAAGATGCCATCACTCTGGATTTTGATGGTGATGACCTCCTAGAAACAGGTAAAAATGTGAAAATTACAGATTCTGAAGCAAGTAAGCCAAAAGATGGGCAGGACGCCATTGCACAGAGCCCGGAGAAGGAAAGCAAGGATTATGAGATGAATGCGAACCATAAAGATGGTAAGAAGGAAGACTGCGTGAAGGGTGACCCTGTCGAGAAGGAAGCCAGAGAAGGTTCTAAGAAAGCAGAATCTGGAGACAAAGAAAAGGATACTTTGAAGAAAGGGCCCTCGTCTACTGGGGCCTCTGGTCAAGCAAAGAGGTTTGTTTTTCTATGTCAGTTCTTTACGATACTGAATTCCAGCATTCAATAAGATCACTCTACATTAAGGGGGTGGCTTCAAGAACATGTACAGTAATTAGTGTCTTATGATCCTGCCTATAATATTTTTGACCGTCATAAGTTACTTTTAAAAATTTTCAAGATCTTCATAATAATGCAGTGTGTTCTACTGATTGCATTGTCGAATGTCAGCATATATTTGGTTTTTTTGTTGTTTTTTGTTTTTCAAATTGACAATTTTTTTGTGTTTTATTTTTTAAAATCCTTGTGATGATGGTTAATGAACAACTATCAGTTCTAAGAACACAAAATGAAGTCAAGTCCCAGTCCTGAAATCTGGAGAAGATGGCCATATTTCCACTGAATAGAATTGTCAGAAAATCTAGATCTTCAGGCATCTTGGGGAAAATCAGTGCAAGAATCCTCAGGGCGTCCTTTGTTCAAATGATCTAATCTAGGCCTTTGCAATTGTTAATTTGTATGAATAGCACTAGTTCGAAATAGAGTGAATATCAAGCTGTTCGATTTTGGGTTTTTGTTTTTGTTTTCAATTTTCTTCTGGTGATTTGCCTCTTTAGCTCTTCAAAGGAATCTAAAGACAGCAAGACATCATCTAAAGATGACAAAGGTAACAGATTTTCCCTGTTTGTTTCAGTGTTGACTTTGCATATTTCATGAAAAAGTAGTAGTTGTACAGTGTTTTCTTTGACATTTAGTCCTTAAAAATTTTATTGACAAACTAGTAACTTGAGATGGTCATTATATAAACTATGGAATTACATAGATTACAGGAAAATGTGATTGATGCATTACTGTTTACTTTGTAAACTGGTATTGGGTATGTTAAAAACCCATTGGCTAAGGATCTGTGTTGAATATTGATAGATATTTTCTTACATTATAATTTCAGAAGTATTTTATCTTCTGTTATTCATTTATAACTACTATATATCATCACACCTTTTCCTTGTTCTGTCTTTAAATAATACTTGTATTTGTGAAGTCCAGTGTTTTTCTTTCTTTCTTTTTTTTTTTAATTCTTGTAAGTTTCAAGGCGCAATATTTAGTTGGTTTCTGGTATTGAGAAATCTTTGGTTACCTCATGCCCATGAGCTACAGTTTCATCTTGTACATGTGCTGTGTTTACTTGAAAAATACTTATTTTCTACAAAAGCATTTTAAGGGAAAATAAAACATTCAGATATTGCAAAGCTTTAAAATACCTTCTAAGTGTGTAAAGAAGAATTATATGCATCCTCTATAGTTTATTTAATAGTTAGAAATTGTAAGGATGTGATTTATGAATTGGCTGGTCTTGCTTAAAAAATACGTTTTTTTCCTGTTAGTGAAAAAAGAGGTTTTTCTGTAATGAGTAAAGTATCTGGGCCCAGGTGTTACTGGGAATAAAAATGGTACACAGACATTGAGTTAATATTTCATAAGACCCTTGATGAATGCCTTTCTTAAGAACAGAAAAATATCAACCATTAATATTTAAAATATTTGAGCCCAGTATGTGTTGTCTTCTCTCCCTCTAAGGCTACACTGACTGTACTTTCACAACTGTTAACACATGTAATTTTTTAAAACATCTAAAACTTTTACTCTTTCATAATGTGAAGTATAGAAATTACTCCTTTTAATTGCTTGTATACTGTTTCTTTTAAAGTTAGTAAAAATTGTTTTCCAAATAAAGTCAAGTGAATGAAAATTTCCCGCTTATTACACCACATTTAAAGAAAATGGTGACTGGCTAGGCCTGTATCCTAAGATATGGCCTCTATATGTATGAAGCCATGATTTGTGTGTGACATAGTACAGAAATGGTTCATATAATAATTTACCTATTCTAAAGGATTTTGAGATCTCTGATCTTAACCTTGTAGTTGTTTTGTTTTAGAAGGTTGTTTCTTACTGAATCTAGAGTTATCCAGCTGCATGTAATTCCCATTTTGTTTTACCTGTTCTGTAATAGGGAATGAAGATGTACTGGTTGGTTAGTTTTTGTTATTAACCATATAAGTTACTGTAAAGTGTCTACCTTGCGCTGACTCTTTCCTTCTTCCACTTCAATTTCTCACGGTCTAAAGCCCACAGCAGATGTGGCAATTAAGCAGTCTGTTCACTCCTAAAAGACTGCTTCCTAGTTGCCTCTGTCCAATGCAGTGGTAGAGTATAAAGTATTAAAACTGAGCAGCAAAAATTCGAGACAGATACTTGATTTTTTACCCTCTTAAACTTAGAACTCCTATAGTAGGAAATGTACATATATTCAGATTTTTTTCATCACTAGTTATGTTGCCTGTTGTTTGATTTCATTAATAGTAAACTCTCAGGATTTTGATACCGTAATGTCATTCTATCAGAATTACAGTTTCAAAAGAACGTGGCCCTTACAATTTTGTGTGAAAGTTCTGATTGAGGTATTTAAAAATCTGATATTAAATCTATTCTAGGAAGTACAAGTAGCACTAGTGGTAGCAGTGGAAGCTCAACTAAAAATATCTGGGTTAGTGGACTTTCATCCAGTACCAAAGCTGCTGATTTGAAGAACCTCTTTGGCAAATATGGAAAGGTACATTCTGTTTACCTTTTTATCCGTCTTTCTAGTATCTGTATCTGAAAATAGGATTGTATTCTAAATGGCATTACATAAATATCTTCTAATTTATTGTATCTCTTAGGACTGTCATAGACATAATCACTGAGTTCCGTGGGAATGGTAGATGAGAGTTAGGGAATAAATAGTGTGTCATCATTTAATCTCTCTCTCCCTGAGACTTTGGGATCTTTGTATTCCAAACCTTAAACCTATTTAAGCCAAGAACTAAGTTTATTCGTCGTGATACTTTTTAGCAAGTAGCATGGGATCTAACACATTGCTGAGCCCGATTTGGACATCTTGAAAATATATTGATATTTAGACTATTATTAGGCAATAGGATATATAATTCATGGGGGGTTGGGGGGAGCCAGATATGATCTTTGTTATAGACTTCTAGTCCAGGCTGGGCGGGCAGATCACGAGCTCAGGAGTTCAAGACCAGCCTTGCCAACATGTTGAAACCCCATCTCTACTAAAAGTACAAGAACTAGCTGGGCGTAGTGGCACAGGCCTGTAATCTCACCTACTCTGCAGGCTGAGGCACGAGAATCACTTGAACCCAGAAGGTGGAGGTTGCAGTGAGCCAAGATCTTGCCACTGCACTCCAGCCTGGCGACACAAGAGACACCATCTCAAAAAAAAAAAGATTTAATGTAAAACTGGCTATAGATGGATAGATACTTTTAAACTTTATATAAACATATATTAAGTTTAATATATTAAAACCTAATAAAACATATTAACTATATATATGAACTTTTTTTTCCTTCTGAGATGCAGTCTCACTTGCCACCCAGGCTGGAATGCAGCAGTGCAATCTAGGCTCGCTGCGACCTCTGCCTCCCATGTTCAAGTGATTGTCATGCCTTAGTCTCCCTAGCAGCCGGGATTACAGGCATAAGCAACTGCACCTGGCTAATTTTTGTATTTTTAGTAGAGATGAGTTTTTACTATGTTGGCCAGGTTGGTCTCAAACTCCTGGCTTCAGGTAATCCACCCATGTCAGCCTCCCAAAGTGCTGGGATTCTAGATGTGAGCCACCATGCCAAACCTACACACACACACACACAAACTTAGTCAGAAGTTGTTGTAAGTGCTGTGAAGGAAAAGTATACAGTTGTTACAAAGGGGAGGCTTTACTGTGATTACTTCATCAGGAAAAGTTTCTCTGGCAGTTAAGGGGAGACCTAAAGGAAGAGAAGGAGGAGTCAAAGCATACTCAATTAATAACGAATGCTTTGAACTGTGAGCTGCATCCCGGAGGGCACTCAATACTGTCTGCTTACATTGTCATTTTTCACATTCATTGTAGTTAATGTAGTCCAGCTCTGTGAGGTCAGGGACCTTATTACTGTACTTCATGTGCACATGATAGGCTTTCAAATATTGAAATTACTGAATTAATAACCACTATTGGTCCAAAACCTGTTCTTTTGATTTTAGGAGGGTTTTTTCTCTGGCTTTAATTAGTGAGTTGCCTGAGAGTAAAGGAAGTTCTTGTAGGTGTCAGATATAGAACAATGAGAATTGTAGTCCCATGGTAGGCTGTGTTGCACTTTTTTGTTCTGTTTTTAATAATGTATTGTTAGAAATGTGAAAACAGTATTTTAATGCTGGTATTTATTGGTAGTAAAACTATATGAGGATATCATATACTTGGTAAGACAACCTGTGGATTTTAAAATTAAATGGCTCTGGGGCAGATTGGCCCTTCCTAGGATTGAGGTAGAAGTTGATTGGTTGTAGCCACCCACACCCTAAGACTCCTTATTTCCCTGTTTATTTCTTCCCAGCTTTATTTCTTTACTTTCCTGTTTAGCAGTGGATCGTTGTCTCTTGCTTTTCTTCGCACTCATCCATCCCTGCCTTGTTTCTTTAACTGTCCATCTTACAGAATTGAAATTATTTGTCACTTTCATAGAATACACATTTTAAAAGCACATAGATGGAAAGTGCTGTCTTTCAAGCTTTAGGGTGTTTTTTGGAGGGTGCTTTTTTTTTCTGAGACGGAGTTTTGCTCTTGTTACCCAGGCTGGAGTGCAATGGCGCGATCTCAGCTCACCACAGCCTCCGCCTCCTGGGTTCAGGCAATTCTCCTGCCTCAGCCTCCTGAGTAGCTGGGATTACAGGCACGCACCACCATGCCCAGCTAATTTTTTGTATTTTTAGTAGAGATGGGGTTTCACCATATTGACCAGGTTGGTCTCGATCTCTTGACCTCGTGATCCACCCGCCTCGGCCTCCCAAAGTGCTGGGATTAAAGGTGTGAGCCACCGCGCCCGGCCTAAGTCTGCTTTTTTTATATGTGATTGATTCTTTACTTATTATAGACAAGTGTTAATACTCATCAATAAAATACTAGAAACTTATTTTTTCCCGAAAGACATTCAGGGTGGGCCTATGATAGGGATATTTTGATTCAAATCCAGTTTATTTGCTTTTATTAATTATGCCACCAAGTCATTGATGAGATTGTGTTTTGGCTACATATATGAGGGGAGAAAATAAACATAAAAAGAAGGTTAAATTGCTTTTTGGCCCTTTAAATTGTTCCCCTGAATATTTATTAAGATAAGTAAGGTAGATGCTGATCACAGGAATATGAAACAGGCTGGGCATGGTGGTACATGTCTGCAGTTCCAGCTGCTTGGGAGGCTGAGGGAGGGGAATTGCTTGAACCTGGAAGGCGGAGGTTGCAGTGAGCCAAGATCGCACCACTGCACTCTAGTCTGGGCAACAGCAAGACTCCATCTCAAAAAGACAAAAAACAATGTGAAACAGAGTAAGATATAACCTGAATTCTTCCTTGAGATTGGCAGTTTTAAATTTCAACTCAATCTAAGTAGTTTTATAGTTTTGGTTGTAAAGTTTCGCATATTTAGAAGTGTGTGTAGTTGTAACATTATAAAACTTTGTAAACTACAGCCTCATTTTATAGGTTCTGAGTGCAAAAGTAGTTACAAATGCTCGAAGTCCTGGGGCAAAATGCTATGGCATTGTAACTATGTCTTCAAGCACAGAGGTGTCCAGGTGTATTGCCCATCTTCATCGCACTGAGCTGCATGGACAGCTGATTTCTGTTGAAAAAGTAAGCCTACCCCTTTATCAAAGCAAGTTTAATTTGATGGCTCATTCTCAACTCGAGTTGTTAACACTAGCAGGGAATAGAATTAGCAATTATTTTTAATTTTTATTTATTTGTAGTTTTTACTTATAATTTTCTATGTTTTCCCAATTTTCTGCCATTAGCACACTTGTTATAATCATATGTATAAATTGTTCTTCTGCTTTGAACCTTTCAGGTAAAAGGTGATCCCTCTAAGAAAGAAATGAAGAAAGAAAATGATGAAAAGAGCAGTTCAAGAAGTTCTGGAGATAAAAAAAATATGAGTGATAGAAGTAGCAAGTAAGGATTTTTTATTTTTATTTATTTATTTGATAAGCAGATAGACTTTGTTGTTACATTAGGAAGTATTCATTCTGTTTTTTTTTGTCTGGGGTGGTATGGTCAGGACACAAGCCTCTATGAAAAAAGAAGAGAAAAGATCATCTGAGAAATCTGAAAAAAAAGAAAGCAAGGATACTAAGAAAATAGATGGTAAAGAGGAGAAGAATGATAATGGAGCAAGTGGCCAAACATCAGAATCAATTAAAAAAAGTGAAGAAAAGAAGCGAATAAGTATGCTATACATCTTTTCAGTCCCTTTCTAATGCCTTCTTCTGCTTAAGTTTTACAGTGGAAGGGAAAACCTGAAATTATAATCCAGATACGTAAGCTTTGTTGTTAGATGTCATTGTGATAGGACAGGAACTCTAGTAGGAGGAGGGGTCTTCTTTTCTATTCTGGGGACACAGAGTGTGTTCTTCTGTCTAAGCTCTTTAAATATTCTCGGCTGACTTAAAATGGTCATTGATCAGTAGTATTGACTTGGGATTTTTCGCTATCACTGAAAGAATTTCTGTTAGCAGACTGAACTGTTTAAAAAACTCTTTGCAGGCCGGGCGCGGTGGCTCACGCCTGTAATCCCAGCACTTTGGGAGGCTGAGGCGGGTGGATCACCAGGTCAAGAGATCGAGACCATCCTGGTCAACATGGTGAAACCCCATCTCTACTAAAAATACAAAAAATTAGCTGAGCATGGTGGCGCGTGCCTATAATCCCAGCTACTCGGGAGGCTGAGGCAGGAGAATTGCCTGATCCCAGGAGGCGGAGGTTGCGGTGAGCCGAGATCGCACCATTGCACTCCAGCCTGGGCAACAAGAGCAAAACTCCATCTCAAAAAAAAAAGCAAAACAAAACAAAACTCTTTGCATTTAAGTTCTTCTAGAATGAGTAGGTTTTTTATTTCCTGTATTGGATTTTGACTATCAGAATTTAGCATTTTTACCTACCTGTTTTATTTTTCAAGGAAAATTTTTAGCCACTTACTTTGTATAATTTTTTCCCTTAGCTTCAAAGAGTCCAGGACATATGGTAATATTAGACCAAACTAAAGGAGATCATTGTAGACCATCAAGAAGAGGAAGATATGAGAAAGTAAGTCTCTGATCAGGATGGTTGTATACTACTTAAGCTGTTTACAAAAGGAGATGATTTTTTTTTTCCCATAACCATCTTTGTTTACTTGCATGCTAGCAAACCTAAGAAAAGAAAATGTTACTAGTCGTTTGAACTTTTTAAATGACCTGCTAAACATGAAAAAAAAAAAGAAAGCCTCTACTGGGCGTGGACGCCTGCAATCATGGCACTTTGGGAGGCCGAGGTGGGTGGATCACCTGAGGTCAGGAGTTCAAAACCATCCTGGCCATCATGGTGAAACCCCATCTTTTAAAAAAAAAAAGAAAGAAAAGGAAAAAAAAGCCTCACATTATTTTAATTTCTAGTGTGTTTATAATTTTTGTCTATAGATTCATGGAAGAAGTAAGGAAAAGGAGAGAGCCAGTCTAGATAAAAAAAGAGATAAAGACTACAGAAGGAAAGAGATCTTGACTTTTGAAAAGATGAAGGAACAAAGACTGAAAGAACATGTGTTTCGTTTTGAAAGGCTGCGACGAGCAATGGAACTTCGGAGGTAGGAAGAGAGTCTGTTTTATACCTGTCTTTAAACATAGGTAAATATTTAACACTAGCTGTAAGCCAGATTTCTGGAAATTGTAATCCCACAGAAAACTGTTTGCCACCTTAAAGAAGTACGGTAGCTTTTAATGATTTATTAAGTTTGCATAGCACTTTATAGTTTACAAAGTGCTTTTTCATCTGTTATCTCCAACTCAACAGTTCTGTAAGGCTAGTTATGCCCATTACACAGTTGAAAAAATGGAGGCCCAGAGAGGCGAAATGACTCTTCCAATGCCACATGGCTAACAAGTGGCAGAGTCGGGACTCAGACCCAAGTCTTCTGACTCCAAGTCCAATGCTCTTTCCTCAACACCAAAGCTGCTGCCATAAAAAACATGACTTGAAAGGAAAAATTTGAGATGAGGTCGTTTCAGAGTAGCTATAGTGTTCAAATTCTATAATCTGAAATTTTAACAACAAATTTAGCAAAAATGTATTGTTTGCATTAGTGCCCGAGAGAAGGAAGATTTGCCCTATGAGCCTAATGGTATTTAGATTGTATGCCAAAGCAAGCATTCTCTTTAAAACAAATGGAAAATACAAACCAAGCAGGATGTTTCCATTTTTAGTGACTGTTTCTCAACAGTTCATTATGAGAGCCAGTTTACTTTTGCATATCAGTTTTTGGATGACACTTAAAATAAGTCTTGTGGGTGTGTTTTATAGTATATTTTTTCAAATGTTAACCTATCTTGTCCAGGGGTTACTCGTCATGGAATTTGATCTATTCATTCACAAAAGAGTGTTAGGAACTATCAGAGATACTTTTAACAACTTACATAATACTGTACAATAACTGTCACATAACTTTATAAAAGTAAGTAATCCTTGTAGCACACAGAACCCATGTTCTCTTTTTTAAGATGAGGTTCAAATGTGCCTAGCTTCCTGTTTTATTTAGTTGACAACAGATTGAGTGGAGAGTGGGACTGAGGAGCAACTAGCGCAGTGATTCTCAAACCCTATGAGACCAAAGTCCCTTTTATATGAGAAAATGTTGCAATGCCTTTACTATTCTGAAATGAAATTGATGCATAATGTACTTACCCTATACTAATAATTTCCAAAAAATTGAATGTAATGGCTTAACTATAATATAAAGGAGAAATAAAAGTAATTTATACTAAAAATATATATTCCAGATATAAATGTTTAGGCATGACTTACTGAAGTAGTCAGATGTTTGCACCCCTATTTAGACTCACTGAGAATGTGACAGCTCCAAATACAAACTGACATATGTCAGTGATACATTGTATTGGTTAGTAAATACCAGAAGTAGTGTTGACCTTATGACATGATTTCTGAAATCATGAGCAACTCTTAGTAAAGGTCTCAAGAACGTACCTTCTATTTATATAGAGTTGCATTATTGGAAATTCTAGAATATATAAAACCATGTCAAAGCAAACAAACAAACTTAGCATTTATTAAAAATGGGGTTGAGTTCTAGACTCAGATGTAATTTTTGCTTAAGGTGTTTGGTTGTTTTTAATGGTATGAATGTCCATTGTGGCCTCTGAAAGGTGGGAGAAGTGTTGGATGGTTCTTGTTGTATACGACCATCCTCACTATTCCATGCATCAGTGAGATACTTAGATTCCTTTACTTCATACACTGAACACTAGTATCTGCTCCATGGTACTGTGATAATTAAAAATACCCCATCGATTTCTGTAGAAGTAGTGCTGACTCTTTGAGAACCACTGGGTTCCTAGAAGACGACATGCGGATAATAGACAGAAAAAGGTGCTGACCACCTTACAGTAAGAAAATCACATTCAAGGCCTAATTCAGTAACAGTTCAGTTCAGTGAACAATTGAACACTACCTGGAGGCATCTATTACAGGGTAGTAAATATTCCAAAACAGCCCTTCAGGATGTCATTTTGTCATATGTAGTATATGCTATTATTGATGTTCATTGTTAGGATCCCAAATCATCAAAAGAGAGTATATATTTTGTTTAAGGAGATACAATAGAATATATAATAGGCATTAGAGGTTTTTCCATCAAAACAAGTGTTGGAAGTTGTAGTTTTGTAAATTTGTATATGCAGATTACATCCTTCTAAAATGTCAATTGATTAATGGACTATTATAGTGATTTTTATTTAAACAGGATTCATCTAAGAGGCAACTACTCTATATAAAATTTAGCTGCTCAGTTGACAGTCTTACTTACAAATAAGTGAAAATTTTGGGATCTGTTTAAAGTTTTACTTTGAATTATGTTTCCAATTACATTAAAACTACTTAGATTGAGTTGAAATTTAAAATTGCCAACCTCAAGGAAAAATTCAAATTCAAAGCTATTCTCTTTCACACAGTGCTAGCATAATTTAAGTATTTCTAAATACTGATTTTTGGTAGACGAAGAGAGATTGCAGAGAGAGAGCGTCGAGAGCGAGAACGCATTAGAATAATTCGTGAACGGGAAGAACGGGAACGCTTACAGAGAGAGAGAGAGCGCCTAGAAATTGAAAGGCAAAAACTAGAGAGAGAGAGAATGGAACGCGAACGCTTGGAAAGGGAACGCATTCGTATTGAACAGGTGCAGTCAGAAAATCTTTTCATCTTAAATAACTCACCTTTTTGAAACTGTGATTTTTGCCCTAAAATTTGCTTTACTCATTGTAAAGCGTCTATAGAATGAGTTTAGCTAATGAGCTTTTAAGTGTCCCTGAAAGGTAACAGTGAATTAGGTACTCATTAAAAACACAATCAGTAGTGACTTTGTCCTAGATAATTGGTAATAACTCTAGCTCTGCAATGTCATGGCAGCCTAATAGTCTGAGCATAGGACTATGAGTCCAGAGTAGTTGTAATCCAGGCTCTGTCACTATCCCAGTCTTAGAAAATAATAACAATTTCCTTACATATTACAGTGGGAATGATTTCCCAAGGCTGGAAGGAAATAATGCCTCTCTTTGCAGAATTGCACCTCAAGGTTTTAAGGCACTTAGTCTCCATACATATTAAGAACGCTGTTTCTAATTCCCTTTAGGTGCTTTTGTTTTAGTCAAATAATTAAACTAAACTTGACCTCCCCAAATACTGCCAACTTTCGCCCCCCAGTCCTTGTTATTTTTAATGTTGCAGAACAATAGCCTTAGCCTAGATTATTGAAATGAAATGTATGTATCCCAGGTTTGTTTTGCCTGGTCTTTGCTTATGGTGGTTTCTTAGTGGTAAGGTTAAAACAAGGTTGCATGTCTACTTACCTTTTGTTTTCATTTTGCCTTGGTTGGTTCTTCCTTCTGTGTGGTCTGAAGGAACGTCGTAAGGAAGCTGAACGGATTGCTCGAGAAAGAGAGGAACTCAGACGGCAACAGCAGCAGCTTCGGTATGAACAAGAAAAAAGGAATTCCTTGAAACGCCCACGTGATGTAGATCACAGGTAGTTACTCACTTTCTTCCTTAACAGTTACACTTGCTGTTCTATTCCGTTTAGGCTAAGACTAGAGAATTAGAAAGTACAGGCTCCCGTCACTGGAATAAAAGTCATGATCAACAGGGATGGGAAGGATGACAGTGCTAGGGTAGACCCAGTGCATTGGCGAGTGGGAACAGTCTGCATTTCTTGTCCTGTCCGCCTTTCTAATGCCAAATGTTTTTCATTATGAAGTTTCATTGTTGAAATATTTTGGAAGTGACAGAGCCTGGATTACAACCACTCTGGACTCATAGTCCTATGCTCAGACTGTTAGGCTGCCATGACATTGCAGAGCTAGAGTTATTACCAGTTATCTAGGACAAAGTCACTACTAATCGTATTTTTAACTAGTATCTAATTCACTGTTATCTTTCAGGGTCACTTAAAATATAAACACACGGAAAATACAATAAAATCATAGTAGCCTTCAGTAATAATTAAACAGATTTTGAATGTTTGTAAAAAGGTAGTGCAGGTAGTATAGAAATGGAAGTCATAAACTTGAGGAGATTGCATTGTGTGTTTGCACTCATACTTCATATAGATTTAAAAATATAAATATGCCCATTTAATTTTCTTAACATAAATTCTGTGAAATTAAGTTGATTTTAGAAATAGAGAATTAGGTGGAATGAAAGAATTGTGCTTCTGACTTCCACTCTGACATTACCAAAGTTCAGGATAAATGAAGACGTTGTGAACTGCTGGTTAGAATTTTATTGTAAAGTGGTTTCAAGTATGTTATTTGTCTTTTTGTTTAATACTTTTAAGACAGGCAGTTTTTCAACTATTTTTCTCTCCTGTTTAAATTCTTTTCACACTATTGACTTTACATAATTCAACAATTAAGGCTTTGCTAGTTTGTACTCCTAACTGAGTGTGTTATATCTTGAGTTTACTAGCCCTGTTGTGTCCACAGTTCTAACATGTGGTATGTATAACTCCAAGTAAATGTTGTTTGATTACTGTGGAAGTAATTTATGTAAACGAGCAAATATTTCTCTTCAAGGCGAGATGATCCTTACTGGAGCGACAATAAAAAGTTGTCTCTAGATACAGATGCACGATTTGGCCATGGATCTGACTACTCTCGCCAGCAGAACAGATTTAATGACTTTGATCACCGAGAGAGGGGCAGGTTTCCTGAGAGTTCAGCAGTACAGTCTTCATCTTTTGAAAGGTAGATAGATATGTTGAAAATTATTATATTTATTTTATGAGACTTGCTAGTGATAACTTTCTCCTAAAATCTTATCAGGTCAGAACTGAATGTTCAAACAAATTACATGATTTTCGTTTCTGTTAAAGTGAATGTGATTCAGTATTCCAAATTAATTCAATAGAACACCACTAAATAGGTTGACTTGATCTTCTTATGTTTATTTTATTTTTTTGTGACAAGAGTCTCACTCTGTCTCCCAGGCTAGAGTGTAGTGGTGCGATCTTGACTCACTGCGACCTTTGCCTCTTGGGTTCAAGCGATTAATTCTCTTGCCTCAGCCTCCCAAGTAGCTGGGATTATAGACATGCACCATCACACCTGGCTAATTTTTGTATTCTTAGTAGAGACAGGTTTTGCCATGTTGGCCAGGCTGGTCTCACACTTCTGGGATCAAGTGATCCCCCACTTTGGCCTCCCAAAATGCTGAGATTATAAGCATGAGCCACCATATCCAGCCTCTTCTTATCTTGAAAACTGTGGGAGCGCTGATTGCTTTGTATGTGCCTCGACTGTTAATAAGTAAAGCATTCTTTAGCTTGGTAGTGACTTTGAGTGCTTGGTATCATTTCTCCTAAATGCTTAAAAAACCAGCCTTTAGGCTAGACACTTAGTTCAGTTTAAAAGAAAATGAGTTGTAATAATAACTAGCTTTTTTCCATGGCTTTGCCTTAAGTTCATTTTTTGGTTTCATCATTATAGGTTATGCAGACAAAGTTAAGAAGAATTAAGCACTCAAGTAAGCACTTCTAGGACCTATATTCTTTGTTTCTAATCAATAGGCGGGATCGCTTTGTTGGTCAAAGTGAAGGGAAAAAAGCACGACCTACTGCACGAAGGGAAGATCCAAGCTTTGAAAGATATCCCAAAAATTTCAGTGACTCCAGAAGAAATGAGCCTCCACCACCAAGGAATGAACTTAGAGAATCAGACAGGCGAGAAGTACGAGGGGAGCGAGACGAAAGGAGAACAGTGATCATTCATGACAGGCCTGACATCACTCACGCTAGACATCCTCGAGAGGCAGGGCCCAATCCTTCCAGACCCACCAGCTGGAAGAGTGAAGGAAGCATGTCCACTGACAAACGGGAAACAAGGTAGCTGTGTACTTTGTAATGCTCTCTTGATGGTCTAATCCATCGGGGTTAAAAAAGGTAAGATTAAAGTTTGGATCATGTATGTTTTTATGTTTTGTTTAACAGAGTCGAAAGACCGGAAAGATCTGGGAGAGAAGTATCAGGACACAGCGTGAGAGGTGCCCCCCCTGGGAATCGTAGCAGCACCTCGGGGTACGGGAGCAGAGATGGAGACAGAGGAGCCATCACAGACCGAGGAAGTGGAGCACAGGTAAATGCTGCGGGAGGCCTGCAGCCAGCCTGCACACATACGTTTAGAAGATTTATGAGCTACTCTGGATACACAGTAGCATTTTGATGTGGCCTAGATTAGTTAGATAGGAATGATTGAGAGGCATTAATTTGTAAAATGAATCTATATTTTCCTCATACTTTACTGTCAGTAGTTGACCATCAGGAGTCCAAAGAGTTAAAGTACTAGCCTTGAAATACTTACTCCATTTTTTTTTAACTTCCCAGAAAAACTTAAGAATTGTTAATTTGGTAAAGGACCCCCCCCCTTTTTTTTTTTTTTTTTTTTTGAGACAGGATCTCGCTCTGTCACCTAGGCTGGAATGTAGTGGTGCGATCTTGGCTCACTGCAACCTCCACTTCCCGGGTTCAAGTGATTGTCCTGCCTCAGCCTTCTGAGTATCTGGGACTACAGGCACGTGCCACCACGCACAGCTGATTTTTTTGTATTTTTAGTACAGACAGGTTTTCACCATGTTAGCCAGGATGGTCTCGATCTCCTGACCTTGTGATCCGCCCCTCTCGGCCTCCCAAGTGCTGGGATTACAGATGTGAGCTGGCCCGCCCTGCCTAAGCCTTTCTCATGATAACTTTGATTTTATTTCTTTTTAAGAAATTGAGGTTTTCAGACTGGATCCAGAATCTCTGGCCCCTACTTATGTTTCCTTCTCACTTTTTCCTTTTTAAAAAAATATTCTTGGTTGAGTGCAATGATTTAAACAGCTTTAAACAGAGTGTTCACTACTCTCTTTTCCATAGTTATGAATGTGTCAACTTCTAAGTGCCATAATACTAACTAGTACGATGTAAAACAAGTTGGCAACTCTGGTTTCTGTGTGCTGTTTGCATGTTGTCCTGATAGGCTGATCATAGGCCCCACCCTAACTTGTCTTAAGGTTTTGATCTTTGTCTGTGCCTTCTTACAATAAATGTAAGATCCAAGCATTTGAAATAATGAAGGGTCAAAAAGCACTGGGAGCCAGGAAATACAGAAATATAAATTAATGGCCAGGCCTGGTGGCTTGTGCCTGTAATTCCAGCACTTTGGAGGCCAAGGCAGGTGGATTACTTGAGGCCAAGGGTTCAAGACCACCTTGGGCAATATAGCAAGACCTCATCTCCATAAGAAAATTAAAAAGTTAGCTGGGCATGGTGGTGCACACCCTGTAGTCCCAGCTAGACAGGAGGCTGAAGCAGGAGGATCACTTTAGCCCAGCAGTTAAGAGTTGGAGTAGTTATTGTTGCAATGCAGTACTCCAACCTGGGCAACAGTGTGATTGTGTCTCCAAAAAACTTCAAATTAAAAAAAAAGGAATTGGCCCGGCACAGTGACTCACACCTATAATCCCAGCATTTTCAGAGGCCAAGACGGGTGGATCACAAAGTCTAGAGATCGAGACTATCCTGGCCAACATGGTGAAACCCCATCTCTACTATACAAAAATCAGCTGGGCGTGGTGGCACGCACCTGTACTACCAGCTACTCGGGAGGCTGAGGCAGGAGAATCGCTTGAACCTGGGAGGTGGAGGTTACAGTGAGACGAGATTGCGCCACTGCACTCCAGCCTGGTAAGAGAGCGAGACTCCATCTCAAAAAGAAAGGAATTAAAATTTGAATCATTTCCTCCATGTCCTTCCCTGAAGCCTGAGTAGCTTCTTGCTACGAAATAAACTCTTTTCATAGGCTCTTGCATTACTCTTTTTTATCTTGTCTTGTCAGATGTCTTACTAATTTGCTTCTGACATTAAAAGGACACCAATAGAAGTAAGTTGGGATGAAACTGAGGGTGTCGTGACTTTTTTTTTTTTTTTGGGAGACGGATTTTCACTCTTGTTGCCCAGGCTGAAGTGCCATGGAACCATCTTGGCTCACTGCAGCCTCCACCTCCCGGGTTCAAGCGATTCTCCTGCCTCAGCCTCCTGAGTAGCTGGGATTACAGGCACGTGGCACCATGTCCAGCTAACTTTTTGTATTTTTAGTAGAAACAGGGTTTCACCATGTTGGCCAGGCTGGTCTCAAACTCCTGACCTCAGGTGATCTGCCCACCTTGGCCTCCGAAAGTGCTGAGATTACAGGCAAGAGCCACTGCGCCCAGCCAAGTGACTTTTCATATGCTATTCTTTTAGCACTATCCTGAGGAGCGACATGTGGTTGAACGCCATGGACGGGACACAAGTGGACCAAGGAAAGAGTGGCATGGTCCACCCTCTCAAGGGCCTAGCTATCATGATACAAGGCGAATGGGTGATGGCCGGGCAGGAGCAGGCATGATAACCCAACATTCAAGGTAAATAACTAACCAGGTTAGACTTTTTCTGCCAACACACAACCAGCGCTTTATCCTTTCCATAGAAGTCATTATAGTTTCTTCTGACATTGATGAGAGACTGAATTGCAACTAGTAAAAACCCCTGGTCTGCCGGAACACCCTGTATCCACTCAGTTTCCCAAGGAGTGTTTGCAGAACAGCTGATATTAATGTTAGTTTGTATTCTTCCTTGCAAATGAATTCAGTGACATTCTGGCAAGTTGATCTAGATATAGGTAGGTAGGTATGTATGTATGTATGTATGTATGGCAGGATCTAGTAGATAATGAATCCTTTTTTTTTTGAGATGGAGTTTTTGTTGCCCAGGCTGGAGTGAGGTGACATGATCTTGGCTGACTGCAACCTCTGCCTTCCGGGTTCAACCAGTTCTGTCATCTCAGCCTTCTGAGTGGCTGGGATTACAGGTGTGGCCACCATGCCCGGCTACTTTTTGCATTTTTAGTAGAGATGGGGTTTCACCATGTTGCTCAGGATGGTCTTGAACTCCTGTCTTCAGGTGATCCGCCTGCCTCGGCCTCCCAAAGTGCTGGGATTACAGGTGTGAGCCACTCCACCCGGCCTAGATAATGAATCTTAATCTCACATTGGAACCATCATCTTGTTCCCTACCCAGCATTCCTCAAATTCTTAGGAAGAAAAAACTGAAAGTGTGTTCTGTTTCCTCCCTTTTAAAACTCTTGGCAAAGCTTTTAGACATTTAACACAAAATCTGTTCATGTGTTGAGAAGAGAGCTTTACTTTGTCTCCAAACCAAGGTGGGATGTGACCTTTCACCCAGCACGCCTTCAGCTTCCCCATCCCTTTCATGTCCTCCTTTCTTTCCCATTCCTCTTAGGAGACTCTGACCCAGGTCACTACCATTCCATGGTCACACTTCTAACATCAAACTTCAGTAAGCCTGCACAAGCGCAGAATTCATTGTATCTGGTTTGTAAAGGTCACAGATGACTTTTCGCTTGATAAATATAGATTCTTTTTTTTTTTTTGAGACCGAGTTTCGCTCTTGTTACCCAGGCTGGAGTGCAATGGCGCGATCTCAGCTCACCGCAACCTCCGCCTCCTGGGTTCAGGCAATTCTCCTGCCTCAGCCTCCTGAGTAGCTGGGATTACAGGCGCACGCTACCATGCCCAGCTAATTTTTGTATTTTTAGTAGAGACAGGGTTTCACCTTGTTGACCAGGATGGTCTCGATCTCTTGACATTGTGATCCACCCGCCTCAGCCTCCCAAAGTGCTGGGATTACAGGCGTGAGCCACTGCGCCCGGCCCCGATAAATATAGATTCTTTTAGTTTCATAGTTGTCAGGCTCCTCGGTGCTTCAACACTGTTTCACACGGTCACTTTTCTTTATTTTGAGGGAGTCTGTTTTCTAAGGCACCATCATTTTCTTTCTGCCCTTGTGACTGCCTTTGCATGCTCCTTCCTGTGGCTAAGCTTTAGACACTGCTGTTTCTTTTCAGTTTCATGTTGCCATTGCCATATAAGTGCTTTTCTGTTTCCATGAATTCCAGGTCACAGTCAGACTCATTTCTTTCCTATTTTAAACTTTTGTGTCCCTTTCGTTGCCTCCAGCTTCTTTTAATTTGATAGTGCCACCACCCGTTTCACTCATCCTGACTGGAAAAACAGGGGCCTCGTCTTTACCTTTCTTCATTTCTAGCATAAATTTCTAAGTGTGGTTCTTTTTCTTTTTTTTTTTTTTTTTTGAGACGGAGTCTCGCTTTGTTGCCCAGGCTGGAGAGTAGTAGCTGATCTCAGCTTTCAAGAGATTCTCCTGCCTCGTCCTCCCAGGTAGCTGGGATTATGTGCATACACCACCACTCCTGGCTAATTTTTGTAGTTGGCCATGCTGGTTTTGACCTCCTGACCTCATGATCTGTCTGTCTCGGCCTTCCAAAGTTCTGGGATTACAGGCATGAGCCACTGTGCCTGGCCATTTATTTATTTTTAATGTTTCTCAGGCAGTGGCTCACACCTGTAATCCCAGCACTTTGGGAGGACACGGAAGGTGGATCACTTGAACTGAGGAGTTCAAGACCAGCCTGGGCAACATGGCAAAACCCTATCTCTACAAAAAATGTTTCTCATGGCTATTCCGTCTTCCGCATTTCAGCTTCTGTCTGATCTTCCCGAATTATTCTTTTCATGCTCCATTACCCTATTTCTCAATCGTTAAAACCCCCATTTTGTTTTACCATTTACTGCTCTAAAACCAAAAAAAGCAGCTGCTGTAGGTCACAGGATCAAGCCGAAATTCCTCAGCCTGGCATTTAAGCTTTTATATAATTTAGTTTTATTCTGCCTGAACCTTTTCACTGTAGTTTTTTTTTTTTTTTCCAAGACAAAGTCTCTGTTGCCCAAGCTGGAGTGCAGTGGTGCGATCTCAGCTCACTGCAACTTCTGCCTTGTGGGTTCAAGTGATTCTCCTTCCTTGGCCTCCCAAGTAGCTAGGACTACAGGCATGTGTCACCACATTCAGCTAATTTTTTATATTTTTAGTAGACACAGAGGTTTTACCTTGTTGGCCAGGCTGGTCTCGAACTCCTCTTCCTCAGGTGATCCTCCGGCCTCAGACTCCCAAAGTACTGAGATTACAGGCATTAGCCACTGCACCTGGCTTTCACTGTAGATTTTTATTGTGTGGTTTGTTCATGGTTTTTCCTGAGATGGAGTCTCACTTTGTTGCCCAAGCTGGAATACAATAGCATGATCTCAGCTCACTCTAACCTGTGCCTCACAAATTCAAGCAATTCTCGTTGGTCCTCCAGCCTCAGCCTCCCAAAGTGTTGGGATTACAGGCCTGAGCCACCACACCTGGCCTATTAATGGTTTTTTGGGGTGGGGAGAGGGTCTGCTTTTTCTGTCTTACTAACATCTGCTCTGTTGCGTTACAGATAAAGATTCCAGAAATATTTCTTACATTACGTCCTAGAATTTAGTTCACAAGCTTTAGCAAACAACAGAATCACCTGGAGGGTTTGTTAAAACACAGGCTGCCTGGTCATGGTGGCTCATGCCTATAATTCCAGGACTTTGGGAGGCCATGGCCAACAGATCTTTTGAGCCCAGGAGTTCGAGACTAGCCTGGCCAACATGGTGCAACCGTGTATCTACTGAAAATAAAAAAATTAGCTGAGCATGGTGGTGCTTGCCTGTAGTCCCAGCTACTCTGGAAGCTGAGGTGGGAGAATCACCTGAACTCAGGAAGTCAGGGGTTGCTGCAGTGAGCCGTGATTGTGCCACTGCACTCCAGCCTGGGTGAAGGGAGTAAGTCCCTGTCTAAAAATATGTATATGTATTTTTTAAAACCCCCAAAACACAGGATGCTGGGGTCCCACCCCCCAGTTCCTTCTCAGTTGTCTGAGATGGGGGTAAGAATTTGCATTTCTAACAACTGTTACAACTGTTGCTACTGCTGCTGGTTTCACGTCCACACTTAAGAAATCTGCTATAATCCATCCATGTGCGTATCAGCAAATGGCTTATGAAGTAGTGGCGCTTCAAAGTGAGATTGCCCAGGTTCCAATCTCTGCTCCACCATTTTATTTGCTTTGTGACCATCGGAGTTACTCAACCTCCAGATCTGTTTCTTCATCGGTAAAGTGGGGTTAGTAGTGATTCAGATCTCAAAGGACTGTTGAAAAGAGTAAATGATTTATTTTGGATAAAGTAGCAAGAACAGTGCCTGGCAAATGGTAAGTGCTGTGTAAGTATTTGCAGTGATGATTTGTTCTTTGTTCTCTTACATTTTTTTTTCATTTAAACCTTTTTCAGTAACGCATCCCCAATTAATAGAATTGTACAAATCAGTGGCAATTCCATGCCAAGAGGAAGTGGCTCCGGATTTAAGCCATTTAAGGGCGGACCTCCACGACGATTCTGAAAATGAGCTCTCTGCCCTGGTTTTAAGATAATTTATTGAAAACTCTTGTGAACTTTACTTGACTACTTATGAAGACGACCTCTGACTTGCTTGAGAGTTCTGTCAGACTTTTTCTTTTTAAAAATTTAACATGATTGCTTTTCTCAATTTTGGAGAAGATGTTTAAATAGTTCTGTTGTAACTTTTAATAGTTTTGTGTATCATTCAGCTTTTTTTCTTGCAGCACCAAGACACACTTGAAAAGATGAAATTGAATTCATTTTGTTTAACGCTGTGTGAATATAGAGAGTAGTTTGCAGCCGTGCGGTAGTGGTTTGATTTGCAGTCTTAGCTCTGTGGTGTCTGGCTCTAGAGTTACTTCTTTTCACCAAGCATTTTCAGCCTCCCTTTTGAAGGCTGTCTAAGCTTCAGAAGTCTTAGCTGTCTAATTTTTAGAGAATAAGATTGTTCTTGCATTTCTGAGTATTATGTAACCTATTTTTGCAGAAGGTACTGTTACATTAAGTGCATCTGTGTATCCTGGTTTAAAAAAATGTAATCTTTTTTGAAATAAACCTTCATATTCTGTATAGTTGCTAAAGTGTTGAGAACCTTTTTAATTGTAAAATGAGAACCGATTTTCGGTTTAGCGTAGCAGCACACTTGTTCAGGTTTGCATGGTATGAAACCAAATAGATTAATGAAACCTTGGCCATGAGGTTTGTTGCACAAGGTTCTTAGACCGAGCTGTGCAGGTAAGTGCACTTGTAGGTAATCTGCACTGTTTAATGGATAAATTCCATCTCTGGGAATTGTGTGGGTATTAATGTTTCCATGTTCCCAACTATGTGAGAAGTGGAACGAAAACCCAGGTTCTAGATGGGTGAATCAGTTGGGTTTTGTAAATATGTTGTATGTGGGAAGACATTGTTGTCTTTTTGTGAAAATAAAAATCCACACCTGGAAGTGTGTGTGTCTTTGTTTCCAGCGTTTTAGGTGTTGGTCATCAAGCTCTTTCTGCAGTTCAGCCCGAGGTAACTGGTGAGGCATAGTGCTATAAAGGCAGTCTCTTGGTCTTTGTTTCTCAGAAATAAATCTCGCTTCGACTCTTCACCTCATTAGCTGGGCAGCATATGCTGTTCATATGTTAGAGACTTAACCACTGATCCTACGGCTTTTTTTAAAAAGGCATCTCTTTTAGGAAGGCCCTTCAAGGTAAATGCTATTCTTTCAGAAAACTTCCCACATCCCTTTATCTAAATCAGTGACGAACAATCCAAATAGTCTAGATTCTTGGTAAATTCAGCAGTCTCTGTGCTTGGTACGGTCATGCCCATGAGATGGCTCAGACCTCCGAGTGCCATGGGCAACCAAGGTACTGTGGTCTCTGGCCCTTTGGGCAAGTGGCACTTTGGGGACTTCTCTGGATTTCTTAGCCTTTTCTGCCACTCCCAGTCCTAGCTGTGGGAGAAGGTGGGGGTGTGCATTGGTGTTTGAGAGGTCTTCATTTCCTGATCACAACATTTTGTAGAGTGGCACAGAAGCCTCAGTATCCACTGGAGTGAATGTTGGTGACTTTGGGTTAGCGTGTCACTTCTCACTGTTTCCTTGTTTGTAGAGAGGGACTATGCTTCTTAGAAGGGATTATCATACAGCTGCTAACATGGGCTAAGCGCTTTATGTGCTGGGCAGTGTGCTGAGTGTTTGGCGTGCGTTCGCTTGCCCAATACTCAGAAGAATCCTCCTAGCCATAGGTAGAATAGCTGACCTGAGCAGTTTTCAGATGGGAATATGGATAGTAACCTACATTTTAAACATTAGATCCTTGATTTGTTTCATTCTTTTCTACACTTACACTGAAGGCTACAAGCCTACAGACACTATAGGTAATTATTTTTTACTCAGGTTGCCATGGTGATGGCTTTCTTAAGTTCAGAAAACCTGACAAAACCACCTGATATGCTGGCATTGAGGTTGAGTGACCGTCAATGATCCAGGACAGCAGGTAGCAGTGATCTGGCTGGCTTAGGGTCAATAGTGAAAATCTAATTTAGAGGGGGTTTGTTCTGTCTGTTTTGTTTTTAAGACAGAGTCTCGCTCTGCCGCCCGGGCTGGAGTGCAATGGTGAGATCTTGGCTCACTGCTGCAGCCTCCACCTCCCGGGTTCAAGTGATTCTCTGGCTTTAGCCTCCTGAGTAGCTGGGATTACAGGCGCCAGCCACCAGGCTCAGTTTATTTTTGTATTTTTAGTATTTGTAATTTTGTATTTTCACTGTGTTGGCCAGGCTGGTCTCTTAACTCCTGACCTCATGATCCACCCGCCTTGGCCTCTCAAAATGCTAGGATTATAAGATTGAGCCACTGCACCCAGTCTATTTAGAGGTTTTTATGAAAGAAGATAGACTCCTCAAAGCCAAGAGAATGGAGGAAAACGTGCCATTCTCCATGTGCTGGATGCACAATCCGTATGTTTCACCACAGTGCAATGGCATCAATGCGTGAGAAGCTACGGACAGCTTACACGATGCAAAGAAGAGTCCAGCTACGGACAGCTTACACGATGCAAAGAGGAGTCCAGATACGGACAGCTTACACGATGCAAAGAAGAGTCCAGAAAGACAGCAGCCAGTCTTTGTAAGTTGGGCAAGATGCTGATGTCAGAAACTACACATGCCAAAAATAATTGTAAAATAAAATTAAAAGCTTAGGAATTAGGTAGAAAACAATCTCAAGTTCTTAAATATATGCAGTAATGAAAACATTTAAAACCCTTCTGCCTGGATTGTCACTTAACTTAGTTCCTCCATACTTAACACATCTTAACAAACTGAATCCTTATTGAAAAAACTGTCAGATTTTTTTGCATTTATAAAGAACCGCATCCAATCCATCTCTACCTAAAGATGAGTCTCTTCTAGTACCTCCAATAATTGCTTAATTAGCATTTCTGTCAAACACCTCAAATTTACCACGTGCAGTTACATCCAAACGAATCCTCTGAAGTACTTTAATCACCGCCTTCAACTCAGTAAGGGTGCGAAGGTAAAATTAATAATATCCCTTAAAACACGCCACTCGCCGGGCGTGGTGGCTCACACCTGTAATCCCGGTACTTTTGGAGGCCGAGGCGGGTGGATCACAAGGTCAGGAGTTTGAGGCCAGCCTGGCCAACAGGGTGAAACCCTGTCTGTACTAAAAATGTAAAAATTAGCTGGGCATGGTGGTGAGCACCTATAATCCCAGCTACTTGGGAGACTGAGGCAGGAGAATCGCTTGAACCCCGGAGGGGGAGATTGCAGTGACCCAAAACCATGCCATTGCACTCCAGGTAACAGAGCAAGACGCAGTCTCTTATTAAAAAAACACACACACCACTCAACAAATAGTTTATTTTTATCTGAAACAAAGTGTTTCCTGAAATCTTTTAAGTGCTTCCTACAGATAAGCTTCTATCTTTGTCTTTCCTTTTGACTTAGCCATTCTAGCCAGGCCCTAGGTGCAGGTATCATGTAGTTAATGTTCACCTATATATTCTGTACCAAAATCACCAGTATATGTGTCTTCACCGCTACTGCCTTATGTTTTCTCTCTGAGCCCTCTAGTGTCTTTCCATCTATGGAATATATTCAGTCTTTCACCTCATTTCCTACTACTCTTCTCCTTGTTCACTTGGTTTCCACATTGGCCTCATCTCATGCGTTGACAACAGCATCCCATCTCCAGCCTGCTTTTGCTCACGCCTTCATCTGCAGTTCTCTTCCTCAGATAGCCATGTGCCTCGCCTCCTCATTGCTTCAGTTCTTAGCTAAAATGTCATTTTCTCAACCATGCCTTCTCTGATTTTATTTAAAATTGCCACACTTAGGCCAGGCATAGTGGCTCGTGCCTATAATCCCAGAACTTTGGGAGGTAGAGACGGGTGGATCACCTGAAGTCAGGAGTTCGAGACTAGCCTGGCAAACATGATGAAACCCCGTCTCTCCTAAAATTACAAAAAAATTAGATAGGCCTGGTGACAGGCACCTGTAATCCCAGCTACTTGGGAGGCTGAGGCAGGATAATTGCTTGAACCCTGGAGGTGGGCATTGCAGTGAGCTCAGATCGCATCACTGCACTCCAGCTTGGGTGATAAGAGTGAGATTTCATCTCAAAATGAAATAAAATTGCCACACTCCCTTTCTCGGCATTCCCCCTCCTTCCCATCTAATCTATAATCCATCTTTTCCTACTTGAATGTAAGCTCCAGAAGGACAGCTGTTTTTGTCTGTTTTTTATTTTCACTGCTGTATCCCTGGCCCCTGGGATTTTTACAACAGGGACATAGGGAGAACAATCTAGTTGGAATGGGGGAGCCTGGGCTTTGTCTTGAAATTGCATTTGTGTAACACACTTCTTTTTTTTTTTTTTTTTTGAGACGGAGTTTCGCTCTTGTTCCCCAGGCTGGAGTGCAATGGCGCGATCTCGGCTCACCGCAACCTCCACCTCCTCCTGGGTTCAGACAATTCTCCTGCCTCAGCCTCCCGAGTAGCTGGGATTACAGTCACGCGCCACCATGCCCAGCTAATTTTTTTGTATGTTTAGTAGAGACGGGGTTTCACCATGTTGACCAGGATGGTCTCAATCTCTTGACTGCGTGATCCACCCGCCTCAGCCTCCCAAAGTGCTGGGATTACAGGCGTGAGCCACCGCGCCTGGCCACTGTGTAACACACTTTTTAAAGATTGAATACTTAAACCACCCCTTGGTGCAGCCACCAGTAAGAAAGGGGATTATTTAGGGACAGGCTGCGCAGACTAACAGCTCTAAGCCTGGAATTCATGCTTTCTGAAGGTGAGATGCCTGCCCCAGGCATAAACATTAGCCATGAAGTCATCTTGCCTCCGTGCTCACCATGTATAGTTTCCCACCTGGATTTGCCAACAGTGTTAGGAAATGAGTATGAAATCTACTCAGTGGTTACATTTTCACCAGTTTATGAGACTGAGCTCATCAAAAGCTCAAGCAATAACCTTTAATTTGGACAGAGACAGTTTTCTTTTTTTTTTGAGATTGTATCTCACTGTCACTTAGGCTGGAGTACAATGGCACAATCTTGGTACACTGCAACCTCTGCCTCCCAGTTTCAAGCGATTCGCATGCCTCAGCCTACCAAGTAGCTGGGATTACAGGCGCCTGCCACCATGCCTGCCTGGCTGATTTTTGTATTTTTAATAGAGATGGCATTTCACCACGTTGGCCAGACTGGTTTCAAACCCCTGACCTCAAGCAGTCTGCTCTCCTGAGGCTCCCAAAGTGCTGGATTACAGGCATGAGCCACCACGCTGGGCCCCTTCTCTCTTTTCTTTTCTTTTTTTTTGAGACTGTGTCTCGCTTTTTTCCCCCAGGCTGGAGTGCAATGGTGTGATCTCAGCTCACTGCAACCTCTGCCTCTCAGGTTGAAGCGATTCTACTGCCTCAGGCTCCTGAGTAGCTGGGATTACAGACACCTGCCACCATGCCCAGCCAATTTTTAAATTTTTAGTAGAGACCTGGTTTCACCATGTTGGCCAGGCTGCTCTCGAACACCTGACCTCAGGTGATCTGCCGGCCTCGGCCTCTCAAAGTTCTGGGATTACAGGCGTGAGGCACTGAGCCTGGCCTGGCCCTTCCCTTAGTAAGTCTAGTGATGTCCATCAAACTATAAATCCATTTCCTCATCACACTTCAGGCATTTGGGAGGTGGACTGCGTGAGTCAAATATCATGACAAGAAATGGTGCATCCTTCAAGGACATGGTAATATAAGACTAAAAATTCTAAGGAATGCTGATCCAAGGAACTAACACCCTAAATTTTGTAAAATTACCAAATTACCTGTTAACTTCTCTAATGACTTTATTTCCCATGGATCTGCTATCCCAGACCTCTGGAGAGGTAGCCTGCTAGGATTTGCTTCACCTGGTCGACAGCTCGCTCCCTCTGAACTACTCTTAAGAACAGTCAAATATATTCGCTAAGACTGTAGTACAGGGAAGGCCCTTGCAGCTGGGACAGTATGCAGGAGCATCCAGTCTAGAAAGCAGAGGCCTCCGAATGTGGAGGAACAGGGAGTTTGCCATTTACTTGGTGTGTTCAGTTATGGGCAATTTATCTGTTATGTCCAGAATACTACAGTCGACTTCGCTTGTGGGACAGGGTTCGCTTGTTGTAAGGGTTTAAGTGGGAAAATATGTGCCAAATACAGAACAAATTATGCTCATTGTTTTCTTGTTCTAGCAAACTCATCCTGTGTTCCCTGATTTCAGACCCAAGGACTACCTAATTTGTAAAAGGTCGATGATTAAATAGAGAAGTATGCCAAGTGCTGTGGCTCACGCCTATAATCCCAGCACTTTGGGAGGCCGAGGCGGGTGGATCACCTGAGGTTGGAAGTTTGAGACCAGCCTGACCAACATGGAGAAACGCCGTCTCTACTAAAAATACAAAAATTAAGAGGGGCATGGTGGCACATGCCTGTAATCCCAGCTACTCAGGACACTGAGACAGGGGAATTGCTGGAACTCGGGAGGCGGAGGTTGCAACGGTGAGCCAAGATCGCACCATTGCACTCCAGCCTGGGCAACAAGAGTGAAACTCCATCTCAAAAAAAAAAAAAAGGTAAACATGAAAAAAAACAAGCCAGGTGTGATGGCTCACACCTATAATCCTAGCACTTTGGGAGGCCAAGGTAGGTGGGTCAAGAGTTCAAGACCAGCCTGGCCAACATGGTAAAACCCCATCTCTACTAAAAATACAAAAATGAGCTGGGCATGGTGGTGCACCCTCTGTAATCCCAGCTGCTCAGAAGGCTGAGGCAGGAGAATCGCTTGAACCAGGGAGGCGGAGGTTGCAGTTAGCCTAGATCACGCCACTACACTCCAGCCTGGGCAACAGAGCAAGACTCCATCTCAAAAGAAAAAAAAAATAGATAATTAAACTGGCATAGATGTGAATTGGGCAAAATCTGAGGTCTAATGGTTGATGAGTCTGGGCCACTCCCCCAGAGGTTTATGATGGGGTTCCAGCATGTTTTACCTCCAAAAGTTCCTCCACAGGATTCACATATACAGCAAGGTTTGAGAATCATTCTAGAGATACAGCTCAGAGTAAGAAAGACTAAATGATTTTTACAAGGTGCTGGCAATTAACTGTTTTTGTCAGTGGGATGAGATTCTCTGATTTTCTGGTTAAATGATGTTCAATTCCTCTGTAGAGCTGAATCACTCGGTGGGAGTGGGGGACTTCCCCATCAGGTTTAGGAACGTGGGTCCGGAGCTTTCAGAACTGTCCTGCTTGCCAGGCATGATAGCTCACGCCTCTAATCTTAGCACTTGGGAGGGCTGAGGTGGGAGGAACACTTGAGGCTAGGAATTGAAGACTAGCCTGGGCCAAACAGTGAGACCCTGTCTCTTTAAAAACAAAAAACGAAAATGAACTGCGTTGGTTAAGCTGTGAAATATTATGTATTATTTAGATAAGTAATACTTCGTTTTCATTCTATTAAGTAGAGAGTCACCTTTGAAAGGAGTGTAACGGGGCGAATGCAAGTACTAGAGAGTCTAGATCAAGAGTCTCATTTTGCATCAACTAAAATTTTCATTCACTAAGCAAAAATATTACACTTTTCAGTTGACACTGTTTACCTATTTTTTTCAAGTGGGTTTTATCTTATCTGCTTATTTTTTAAATGTAAACACAAAAGCTCCAAGTGGTCACACAGAATGACAGAAGTAAACTCGAATTCTAGTTTTCAGTGTATAGGTTTTGCACCTATCTTTAGTATTTTGGTTGATGGTATTATTAATGGACTTGTTGAATTTCAGTTTTCAGTTGTTCATTGCTAGCATACAGAAACGAGTATTTTGCAGTAAAATGTACAAATATGCACACATTTTAAGTGTACAATTTACTGTGCATAGATGAATGCAGACAGCCAAGCCATTACCGCCATGGTCACGATGTGGAGTGTTTCCATCACCAAGTTTCCTTGTGCCCTTTCCTGGTTGTCCTAAACTGTATCTGCAGCCCCAGGCACCACTTATCTGCTTTTTACCACTGGAGACTTCATGTCTTAGAGAGTTTCCTATAAACAGGATCATACAGTAATGTCTTATTTAGTGTCTGGTTCCTTTCACTCAGCAGTTTTTGCAATTCAGCCATGTTGCTGTTTGTGTTAGCCATTCCATCTTCCTGTTGCTGTGTAGGTTTCCAATGTACAGATGTATCACAGTTTTTTGTGCATTCACCTATTGATGGAAATTTGGGTTGTTGACCATTTTGGGCAATTATGAATAAAACTGCTATGAATATTTGTGTACAAGTCTTTGTGTGGACACGTTTTCCTTTCTCTTGGGTAAATAGGATTGGATATATGGGAGTGTATATTTAACATTACAGAAAACTACCAGAGTTTTCTGAAGCAGTTGTACCTTTTTGCACCAGCAATGTAAAAGGTTCAAATGGCTCCACAGATGCACCATCATTTGGTATTGTCACTCTTTTCATTGCTAGCCTTTTTTAGTGGGTGTGCTGTACTATTTCAGTGGAGTTCAAATGTAGTTTTTTTGTGTGTTTTTGAGAGTTTCGCTGTTCTTGCCCAGGCTGAAGTGCAATGGCGCGATCTGGGCTCACTGCGACCTCCGCCTCCTGGGTTCAGGCAATTCTCCTGCCTCAGCCTCCTGAGTAGCTGGGATTACAGGCACGCACCACCATGCCCAGCTAATTTTTGTATTTTTAGTAGAGATGATCTCGATCTCTTGACCTCATGATCCACCCACCTCGGCCTCCCACAGTGCTGGGATTATAAGTGTGAGCCACTGTGCCGGGCTCAAATGTAGTTTTACATGTTCTGACATGATGTTGAGCATTTTTGTTTTGGTTTCTGTTTTTGAGACAGAGTTTTACTCTGTTGCCCAGGCTGGAGTGCAGTGGCATGATCTCAGCTTACTGCAACCTCTGCCACCAGGGTTCAAACAATTCTCTTGCCGCAGCTTCCCGAGTAGCTGGGACTACAGGCACGCATCACCACGCCCAGCTAATTTTTGTATTTTTTAGTAGACAGGATTTCACCATATTGGACAGGCTGGTCTCAAACTCCTGACCTCAGGTGATCCACCCACCTTGTCCTCCCAAAGTGCTGGGATTACAGGCATGAGCCACCACGCTCAGTTGATGTTGAGTATGTTTTTATGTGCTTACTGGCCATAAATATATCTTTCTTTGTGAATTATTTATTTAAATCATTACTCTTTTTTTTTAATAGAGACAGGGTTTCACCATGTTGGCCAGGCTGGTCTCGAATTCCTGACCTCAGGTAACCCACCTGCCTCAGCCTCCCAAAGTTCTGGGATTACAGGCATGAGCCACCATGCCTGGCTCACTCCATGTTTTAAAATTTTTGTAAGTTATTTTATTTCTTCCATGGTGATTTAGAGAGACTCTTTTCAAGCCAGTACAAATATTTCATAACTCGTATGTGTCCGTTTTCTAAGAAATTGAGTAATTTGTTTCACAATAAGCCACGTCCCATCTTTCAGCAAGAAAGACATTCAATTTGAAGGGTAAAGACATTACACACTGAATCAGAACAACTACAATTTGCTGTAAGTATTTCTTTGGGGGAGAACACAGCACCATCTACTCAATAAAGAGAAGCATTTTAACAGTTCAGAGGTATTTTATTTTATTTTATTTTAACACTTGTTATGCTATGAATTCATACGGAAGAGGTTCCAGCAGCTCAGGCTCCTTCCTGTTGGTTCTCACAAAGTGCTCTTCCCTGGGCAGGGCAGGCCGCTGCTTCAGCTGAACCCAGGTGCCTTTCTCTTTGGCTTCCTTCTTTTTCTGATGATCTTCCTTCACGTGTTTCAGGAAGCAATCTCTGCTCTAAGAGTGCTTAATGTGCTCAATATGCACATTAATTCTTTGGCAAGAATCTTATCCTTAACTTGTCTGTTTGCAACAGTGCAAAGAGCATGGTGGGGAACATTGTAGACTCCTCCACTTTTGCCATGGTAACACTTGTGGGGCATTCCTCTTAGAACAGTACCCATTCCCTTGATGTCTACATCACCTTATAGATTCGCATATAGGTGGCCAAAGGAACAACTCCATGTTTTCTTTTTTTGTTTGTTTTGAGACGGAGTGTCACTCTTGTTACCCAGGCTGGAGTGCAGTGGCGTGATCTCGGCTCACCGCAACCTCCGCCTCCTGGGTTCAGGCAATTCTCCTGCCTCAGCCTCCTGAATAGCTGGGGTAACAGGCATGCACCACCGTGCCCAGCTAATTTTTGTATTTTTAGTAGAGACGGGGTTTCACCATGTTGGCCAGGATGGTCTCAATCTCTTGACCTCGTGATCTGCCCACCTCAGCCTCCCAGAGTGCTGGGATTACAGGTGTGAGCCACTGCACCTGGCCAATATCACCTTTCTTGTAGATTCGCACATAGGTGGCCAAAGGAACAACTCCAAGTTTTCTAAAAGGTCTGGAGAACACATGTCCAGTGCCTCTCCTCTTTCCCTTTGTGTTTGTCATTTCGGTGAATTACCGGAAAATGGCAGTTCTGGCCGAAAGCTTTGCTCCATTTTTAACGGTGTTTTAAAATTTTGAAGAAGTGGGCTGGGTGCAGTGACTCCCTCCTGTAATCCCAGCACTTTGGGAGGCCAAAGTGGGTTGATTACCTGAGGTCAGGAATTCGAGACCAGCCTGACCAACGTGGTGAAACCCCGTCTACTAAAATACAAAAATTAGCCAGGCTGGCGGCGGGTGCCTGTAATCCCAGCTACTCGGGAGGCTGAGGCAGGAGAATTGCTTGAACCCAGGAGACAGAGGTTGCAATAAGCCAAGATTGTGCCTCTGCACTCCAGCCTGGGTGACAGAGTAAGACTCTGTCTCAAAACGAAAATGAACAGACAAAAAATTTCAATGAAGTTAGACCGTATGCAGTGGCTCACACCTGTAATCCCAGCACTCTGAGAGGCCGAGGTGGGTGGATCACGAGGTCAAGAGATTGAGATCATCCTGGCCAACATGGTGAAACCCCGTCTCTACTAAAAAATACAAAAATTACCTGTAATCCCAGCACTTTGGGAGGCTAAGGCGGGTGGATCACGAGGTCAAGAGATCGAGACCATCCTGGTCAACAAGGTGAAACCCCGTCTCTACTAAAAATACAAAAATTAGCTGGGCACGGTGGCGCATGCCCGTTACCCCAGCTACTCAGGAGGCTGAGGCAGGAGAATCGACTGAATCCAGGAGACAGAGGTTGCAGTCAACCGAAATCTTACCACTGTACCCCACTGGATGACAAACAGACTCCATCTCAAAAAAAGAAAAAAAAAATACATTTCTAGTTAACTTATGTATGGCATAAGTTACGGATCTATATGTGTATTAGTCCATTCCCACATTACCGTAAAACAACAGACTGAGTCGTTTATAAAGAAAAGAGGTTTAATTGGTCACAGTTCTACAGGCTGTATGGGAAGCATAGAGGCTTCTGCCTATGAGGAGGCCTCAGAAAATTTACAATCATGGTGGAGGGCGAAGGGGAAGCAGGCATGTACCACATGGCCAGAGCCAGAGCCGGAGAGCGAGGTGGGGAGGTGCCACACGCTTTTCAACAACCAGTATCAGGAGAATAGCACCAAGAGAATGCCACACTATTTATGAAGGATCCACTCCCATGATCCAGCCACCTCCCACGAGGCCCACATCCAACACTGGTGATTACAGTTTGACATGAGATTTGGTGGGGGCAGATCCAAACCATATTAATATGGATATCCAGTTTTTCCAGTATTATTTGTTGAAAATACTTATTTTCCGGGCTGGGCATGGTGGCTCATGCCTGTAATCCCAGCACTCTAGGAGGTGAAATCAGGTGGATCACTTGAGATTAGGAGTTTAAAACCAGCCTGGTCAATGTGGTGAAACCTTATCTGTGCTAAAAATACAAAAATTATAGCTGGGCACGGTGGCACGTGCCTGTAATCCCAGCTACTCGGGAGGCAGAGTCAGAAGAATCACTTAAACCCAGGAGGCGAAGGTTGCAGTGAGCCAAGATCACACCACTGCGCACTAGCCTGGGTGACAGAGCAAAACTCTGTCTCCAAAAAAAAAAAAAAAAAAAAAGACATTTTCCCATGGATTACTCTGAAACCTTTGTAAAAAAAAAAGTAAAAGTTTACCCAATATGTGTGAATCTACTTCTGCACTCTATGTTCTGTTGATCTATAGGTCTATACTCTTTTTTTGTTTGTTTTGTTTTGAGATGGAGTCTTGCTCTGTTCCCTAGGCTGGAGCACAATTTCGGCTCCCTGCAATCTCCACTTCCCAGATTCAAGTGCTTCTTCTGCCTCAGCCTCCTGAGTAGCTGGGATTACAGGTATGCGCCACCATGCCCGGCTACTTTTTGGTTTTAGTAGAAACAGGGTTTCACCATGTTGGCCAGGCTGGTCTCCAACTCCCGACCTCGTGATCTGCCTGCCTCAGCCTCCCAAAGTGCTGGGATTACAGGCGTGAGCCACTGCACCCACCCTGTACTTCTATACTTTCACCAATATCAAAATATCATACTACAGTTTTACAGTGTCTTGAAGTCAGGTAATATAATTCCTCCCATGTTGTTACTTACATTTTTCGAAATTGTTCTGGGGCCAAGGAAGGTGGCTCAGATCTATAATTTCAACACTTTGGGAGGCAGAGGTGGGATTTGAAGACCAACCTGAATAACATAGTGAGACCTCATCTCTACAAAAATAAGAAAATTGACCTGGCCTAGTGGTGCATGCCTACAGTCCCAGCTACTCAGGAGGCTGAGGCGGGAGGGTCCCTCGAGCATAGGAGTTGGAGGCTGCAGTGAGCCATGATTGTGCCACTGCACTCCAGCTTGGGCAACAGAGCAAGACCTTGTCTCTAAATAAATAGCTTTGGCTAATCATTTCTTTGCATTTGCATATAAGTTTTTAAATCACTGTATCAATTTCTATGAATAAGCCTGCTGAAATTTTAAAAGAGATTATGTTGGATACACAGATGGAAGAACTGACATGTTAACAAAGACTATTGAGGCTGGGTGCAGAAGCTGACGCCTGTAATCCCAGCTACTCAGGAGGCTGAGGCAGGAAGGATTCCTTGAACACAGGAGGCAGAGGTTACACTCCAGCCTGGCTGACAGAGTAAGACTCCATCTCAAAAAAATGAAACAAACAACAAAGAGTACTGAATCTGCCAATTCGTAATGAGTGCCTCTCTTCATCTAGCAGACCTTCATTCCTACCTCTCAACAGTGTGCTATAATTTCATTGTACGGGTCTGACACATTTTTTTGAACTCTCACTGCCTCCCTGAGTAGAAGGAATTGTTTTTATTTTGCAAGATATATACATTAAAAGCAAAAATAGGCCTGGTGCGGTGACTCACGCCCGTAATCCCAGCACTTTGGGAGGCCGAGGCGGGTGGATCACGAGGTCACGAGGTCAAGAGATTGAGACCATCCTGGTCAACATGGTGAAACCCCGTCTCTACTAAAAATACAAAAATTAGCTGGGCACAGTGGCGCGCGCCTGTAGTCCCAGCTACTCGGGAAGCTGAGGCAGGAGAATCACTTGAACCCAGGAGGTGGAGGTTGCAGTGAGCTGAGATCGTGCCATTGCACTCCACTATGGGTAACGACAGCGAAACTCCGTCTCAAAAAAAAAAAAAAAAAAAAAAAAAGCAATAACAACTACCAAGTGTACTTTTACCATCTTTTCCTAAAAGGACATTTTAATGCCAAAAACACAGATGGCATGAGCTCAGTGTAGTAACGGTGGCTGAAATCTACCTATATGGCACCCATGTGCTGGCTCCTGTTCTGAGGAGTCACGAAAACTGGAAAGGGAGTAACCCAGAGGCCGACCAATTCCATGTCCGTTCTCTTCCACCTCCAGTTCACCTAGCCTTTATGGCAGACAATAATGGCCCCGAAGATGTACATGGCCTGATCTCTAGAACCTGCCACATGCTGTCTCACAGGGCAACAGCAACTCTGGATGGAGGGAATTAAGCATTGACACCAGGAACCTGATCCTGAATTATCCTGACGGGCCAAATGTCATCCTAAGAAGTGAGGGTCAAGGTCAGAGGACTGACAGGGAGACAGAAGCAGAGGTTGGAGCCCAGCACTCTGAGAACAGGTCCATGAGTCGAGGAATGCGGGCAACCTCTAAGAGCTGGAAGAGGCATGAAACATTCTCCCCTAGAGCCTCGGGAAGGAACGTGGCTCTGCAGACACCTTGATTTTGGGCCATGAGACCCATTTTGGACTTCTGACCTCCAGAACTGTAACAGACTTGTGTTATTTGTAAGCCGCTGGGTTTGTGGGGATTTGTTACAACCCATTTTTGGGAACAATGACCCAGAAGGAGGGTGAGGACAGAGAAGCCAGAGTCAGCACAGAGGTGCCAGGAAGTGGGAGCAGAGGAGGGGCAAGCTGTATCCCAGACAGTAAGAGGAGTTGAGTGATTGGGGCTGGTCAGGCTGCATGAGAAGGGAGATGGACGAGGCCACTGGGTTGGGTGGCGCAGAGGCAACTGGCAGCCTTGACAGGAGCTGCTCCCTCTGGAAGAAAGGAAGGACGCCCAGCTGCAGTGGACTGAAGGCTCTTGCTCACTTTGCCTCACCTAGATGCCACACTTCTGCTGCCACATCCCAGCACCCAGCAGGCACGAGGTACGTGATGAACACCTGACCGCTCTGACTCTACCCACCCACTACTTGCCGATGACACGCCCTCAGGCCCTTCTGCTGCTTGAGGTGCCTCAGGGCCCTTGCACTGGCTGCTTCCATGGCCTGGACCACTGTTCTTAGAGGCCTCTGCGTGGGTGCCCCGCTGCTCATCACCCAGGGCCCACACAGCAGCCACGGGCCACTTGAGAGTGTCACGTATTGAAAAGGCAGTGTTTTGAAGACATTAGAGTCAATTAAGGTTATCGAAACTAAATTTACCCTTTTGTTTTGAGCGTTTTTTATTTATGCATGTATGTATGTATTTATTTATTTATTTTTGAGGCGGAGTCTCGTTCTGTTGCCCAGGCTGGAGTACAGTGGCGAGATCTCGGCTGACTGCAACCTCCGCCTCCCGGGTTCAAGCAATTCTCTTGCCTTAATCTCCCAAGTAGCTAGGACTACAGGCGCAAACCACCATGCCCAGCTAATATTTTGTATTTTTTTAATAGAGACGAGGTTTCACTGTGTTGCCCAGGCTGGTAGCGAACTCCTGAGCGCAGGCAATCCGCCCACCTCGGCCTCCCAAAGTGCTGGGATGACAGGGGTGAGCCACCATGCCCGGCCTCCTTTTCATCTTTTTTTTTTTTTTTTGAGACAGAGTTTTGCTCTTGTTACCCAGGCTGGAGTGCAATGGCACGATCTCGGCTCACCGCAACCTCCGCCTCCGGGGTTCAGGCAATTCTCCTGCCTCAGCCTCCCGAGTAGCTAGGATTACAGGCACGCGCCACCACGCCCAGCTAATTTTTGTATTTTTAGTAGAGACGGGGTTTCACCATGTTGACCAGGGTGGTCTGGATCTCTTGACCTCGTGATCCACCCGCCTCGGCCTCCCAAAGTTCTGGGATTACAGGTGTGAGCCACCGCGCCCGGCCTCTTTTCATCTTTTTTAACGTGGCGACTAGAACACGTAAGATGGCTTCTGCGGCTCAGGTCACGCGTCCCCCTGGACAGAGTGCCGTAAGCCCGGCTGCAAGCTTCCCCTACAGAGCCAGGCAGTAAGTGCTTCCAGCTTCTCAGGCCCTCTGCTGTGGCCAAGGTGGCAAGAGCCAGCCACAGATGACGTAAACAAAGGCTGTGTCTGGGCACCGAGACTTCACAAAGAAAGGTGCTGGGCTGCGCTGGGAGGGCCCCAGACAGTGAGTCGGACATGCCTGCTGCGTGGTAACGGATCCAAACCCGGTGCCGGGCGCAGCAGAAATACAAAAAAATAGCCAGGCGTGGTGGCGGCCGCCTATGATCCCAGCTACCCGGGAGCCTGAAGGAGGAGAATCGCTTGAACCCGGGAGGCGGAGGTTGCATTCAGCCAAGATGGCGCCACTGCACTCCAGCCTGAGCGACAAGAGGGAAACTCAGGAAACAGGAAAGGAAAGGAAAGAAATAGCCGAGGCGGGTGGATCACGAGGTCAAGAGATCGAGACCATCCTGGTCAACATGGTGAAACCCCGTCTCTACTGAAAATACAAAAATCGGCCGGGCGCGGTGGCTCACGCCTGTAATCCCAGCACTTTGGGAGGCCGAGGCGGGTGGATCACGAGGTCGAGAGATCGAGACCATCCTGGTCAACATGGTGAAACCCCGTCTCTACTAAAAATACAAAAAATTAGCTGGACATGGTGGCGCGTGCCTGTAATCCCAGCTACTCAGGAGGCTGAGGCAGGAGAATTGCCTGAACCCAGGAGGCGGAGGTTGTGGTGAGCCGAGATCGCGCCATTGCACTCCAGCCTGAGTAACAAGAGCGAAACTCCGTCTCAAAAAAAAAAAACAATAAAAAAATAAGGCAAGAAAGAAAGAATAACCCAAACCTCCCCGGAGAGAGGCCTGGGCTCGGCCCTCCGCCCCTAAGTCACTCTAAGCCCTGGGTCCCGAACGCATGAGAAGGGCCAGCCTGCTCGGGGGCCCAGCCCAGCCCAGCCCCACGAAGAGGGGTTCGGAGTGGAGGCTGGCCCGGCGCTACCCTTGACCTTGGGGGACTGGAGGCTGAGGTCGGCCGCACAGCACGCGGAGGAGTCCGCAGGAAGATCCCAACACCGAGGTCTGAGGACGGTCCCCGGGTGCCCGCCGGGAGGACCGCGGGGAGGGGGCAGCGGACGAGCGCTCTCCCGGCCCTTCTCCCGGCTGCTTCCGGCGCGTCCTCGTCTGGGAAGCCGGGACCGTGACCATGGCCGTGAGGCCCGTGGAGAACTCGCAAGTACGCCCGGGTCTCGGCGCCCTCCTGACTCGCGGCTGGCGCTGGGATGCAGGCGCCCCACGTGGACTGTCCCTCCCGCGGCGCCGTGGCCTCCCCACCGTGGTCACACGGGTTGTCGGGGGTCAAGCAGTCTCTTCCCTCGGCTTCCTCGTGGCTCCCCGCTCCCCTCCCGCCTCGCAGCCCCGCCAGGCTCACCGGAGCTCCTCCCGCAGGGCCGCCGCCTCCTTCCCGCGCTGCGGCTGCCGGCGTGTCGGGTCGGCGGGCAGCGCGCTCAGGAACTGCTCGGGCAAGGGCTCCTCAGTGCGCGCCTCGGGCCGCAGCCAGTCCCGGCACAGGCCGCGGAGCAGCCCCGGCGAGGAGCGCGGCCGGCGTAGCCCAGTGGAAGCGCCGGAAGCGGTGCCGGAAGCGGTGCCGGAAGCGGTGCCGGAAGCGGTGCCGGAAGCGGTGCCGGAAGCGGCCCCACAGGCAGCCCGCGCAGGCCCTCGGCCGCCTGCTTCGCGGGCACCGCCACCTCCATGGAGCCTCCCCGATGGCAGGCCTGCCCCGCACGGCCGAGGGAGAGAACAGGGCTCAGCGAGGGGCGGCACTGGTTCGGGCGCTGAGGAAAGGGCGTCCCCCTCCTGGGCTCCCACGGAGTCAAGTCCTGACTCTGCCCCTCCCCGGGCGCCCCCGCCCCCGCGGCCTCTGCACCTCAGTCTCGCAGCTCCTCCCGCCGCTGCCCGACCGCACTGAGGCTCTGCAGCGAATTCCAGCTCTGTGTCCTTGGACAAGGGACAAGGCACCTTTGGTAACACGCTGTATCTCCGCTTCCTTAGCTCACTCTCAGGCCGGGCCCCCCAGGCCCCCGCACCGCCCGCACATGCGCACAGAGCTCCCCGGGACTCCTTACACGTGTCATTCGTGGTTGCCGGTACACAGAAACACAGCTAATTTTTGTGTGGATCCTTTTATCAAGTGACTTTGCAGACTTATTAATTGTGGTAGCTTTACTTTACATGACTTAGGGTTTTCCATGTATACAGTCATGTCTTCTGGGAATAAAGGCGGGATTCGATTTTCCTTACCGATTTAAATGGCAGCATTAGAACTTCCTTACCGACTGGCGGGGCGCGGTGGCTCAAGCCTGTAATGCCAGCACTTTGGGAGGCCGAGGCAGGTGGATCACGAGGTCAAGAGATCGAGACCATCCTGGGCAACATGGTGAAACCCCGTCTCTACTAAAAATACAAAAATTAGCTGGGCGTGGTGGCGCGTGCCTGTGATCCCAGCCACTCGGGAGGCTGAGGCAGGAGAATTGCCTGAACCCAGGAGGCGGAGGTTGCGGTGAGCCGAGATCATGCCATTGCATTCCAGCCTGGGTAACAAGAGCAAAACTCCGTCTCAAAAAAAAAAAAAAAAAAAAGAACTTCCTTACCGATTTAAATGCCTTTACTCCCCCTGCGTTACTGCACTGGCTAGTTTCTACAATAGGGTGTCGAAAAGAAGTGGCAAGGGCAGGCTGGGTGCAGTGGGTCACGCCTGTAATTCAAGCACTTTGGGAGGCCGAAGCGGGTGGATTACCAGAGGTCAGGAGTTCGAGACCAGCCTAGCCAACATATCGAAACTCCTACTAAAAATACAAAATTAGCTGGGCGTGGTAGCATATACCTGTAATCCCAGCTACTTGGGACGTTGAGGCAGCAGCATGTCTTCAACCGGGCAGGTGGAGATTGTAGTGAGCTGAGATTGAGCCGTTGCACTCCAGCTTGGGCGACAAGAGTGAAACTCCATCTCAAAAAAGCAGAAGTGGGGAGGGCAGACATTCTTGCATAGTTCCCAGTTTTAGGGAGAAACCATTCGGGCTTTCACCATCATCATTAGGTGTGGTGTCAACCTTGAGTTTGTCACATATCTTTTATGAGGCTGAGGAAATTCCCTTCTATTGCTCATATGCTCACAGTTTTTATTACAAATGCAAATTAAATTCTGTCAAATGCTTTCTCTGTATCTGTTGAGATTATATGATGATGTTGAGGTTTTCCTCTTTGTTCTGTTATTACGGTGAATTACATTGATATTAAAATATTAAACCCATCTTACAAGCCAGGGAAAATTGACACTTGGTTATGGTTATGTATATATATCTTACTGGATTTGATTTGCTAAAATTAAAAACATTTTTTTCTTTTTTTTAAATAGAGATGGGGTGTCACCATGTTGGCCAGGCTGGTCTTGAACTCCTGACGTCAGGCGATCCACCCATCTCAGCCTCCCAAAGTCCTGGGATTTCAGGCATGAGCCACCACCCTTGGCCAAAAACTTTTTTTCAAAACCATTTTATTGGCCTGGTACAGTGGCGCATGTCTGTAATCACAGCATTTTGGGAGGCTCAGGTGGACTCATCACTAGAGCCTAAGAGTCCAAGACCAACATGGGCAACATGACGAAACTCTGTCTCCACTAAAAATACAAAAATTAGGTGGTGCACGTCTGTAGTCCCAGCTACTCAAAAGGCTGAGGTGGAAGTCACTTGAGCCTTCCACATTTTCTCATTGAGGGAACTGCAGGACTGTTTTCCAAAGTGACTGCACCAGTTTATATTCCCATCAGTCATACATAAGGGTCTGATTTCTGTTTTCTCACCAACGCTTACCTTTTTGTTTGTTTGTCTGAGCCAGGGTGTTACTCTGTTGCCCAGGCTGGGGTCCAGTCACATGATCATGGCCCACTGCAGCCTCAACCTTTCTGGGCTCAGGTGATCCTCCCACCACATCCTCCGGAGTAGCTGGAACTACAGACATGTGCCACCACACCTAGCTGACTTTTGTATTTTTTTTTTATATTTTTTTGAAATATTTCTTGATGAAGTAGGGTTTTCTCAATGTTGCTGAGGCTGATCTCGATCTGGGCTCAAGTGATTCTCCTGCCTTGCCTCTCAAAGTGCTGAGATTACAGGTGTGAGCCACTGTGCCCCAGTAATCTGACTTTTTGATTCTAGCTGTTTAGTGGGTGTGGAGGGATGCTTCATTGTGATTTTGATTTGCATTTCCCTGATAACTAATGATGTCAAGCATTTTTCTTGTGCTTATCCATTTGTATATTTTCCTTGGATAAATGTCTATTCAGATCAACTTCGCTGATTTTAAAATTAGGTTATTTGCCTTTTTGTTATTAAGTTGTGAGAATTCTTTACATATTCTAGGTACAAGTCCCTTATCAGATGTATGATTTGCAAATACTCCCATTCTGTGCGTTGTTGTTTCACTCTTATGGTATCCTTTGAAGCAAAAAAGTTTTTGGTTTGTTTTATTTTTTGAGACAGAGTCTCGCTCTGTTGCCCAGGCTGAAGTACAATGGTGCAATCATGGCGCACTGCAACCTCCACCTCCCAGGTTCAAGTGATTCTTGTGCCTCAGCCTCCCGAGTAGCTGGGATTACAAGTGTGTACCACCACACCTGGCTGATTTTTGTATTTTTAATAGAGACAGGGTTACACCATGTTACCCAGGCTGGTCTTGAATTCTTGACCTTAAGTAATCCTCTTGCCACAAACTTCCAAAGTGCTGGGATTACAGGCGTGAGCCACTGCACCTGGCAAAGTTTTACTTTTTTTTTTGAGACAGAGTTTCGCTCTTGTTACCCAGGCTGAAGTGCAATGGCGCGATCTCGGCTCACCGCAACCTCCGCCTCCTGGGTTCAGGCAATTCTCCTGCCTCAGCCTCCTGAGTAGCTGGGATTACAGGCATGCACCACCATGCCCAGCTAATTTTTTTATTTTTAGTAGAGATGGGGTTTCGCCATGTTGACCAGGATAGTCTCCATCTCTTGACCTCGTGATCCACCCGCCTCGGCCTCCCAAAGTGCTGGGATTACCGGCTTGAGCCACCGCGCCCGGCCCTTTTTTTTTTTTTTTTGAGACGGAGTTTCGCTCTTGTTACCCTTTTTTTTTTTTTTTGAGACGGAGTTTCGCTCTTGTTACCCAGACTGGAGTGCAATGGCATGATCTTGGCTCACTGCAACTTCTGCCTCCTGGGTTCAAGCAATTCTCGTGCCTCATTCTCCCGAATAGGTGGGATTACAGCCCGCCACCACACCTGGCTAATTTTTGTACTTTTAGTAGAGACGAGATTTCACCGTGTTGGTCAGGCCGGTCTCGGAACTCTTGACCTTGGATGACCCACGCACTTCAGCCTCCCAAAGTGCTGAGATTACAGGCGTGAGCTACCGCACTGCCTTGGTGCCATTTCTAA